AATAGAATGAAAAATGACCCGTTTTTCGACATATTTTTCCATGTAACATTGAAAGTAAGCCCTAAATAAAAAAAGTCATTCTTAATTTTTTGTTTATTTGACGATTTTCTATAGTTACAACAACTGCGAATCAAAAAAGTTGAATTTTGCATTAATAATGGGCGAAAAATAGTAGAAATTTATATACATATTTGGAGCATTTTTTAAAAAAGTAAATATTTATAAATATTGATGAAACTTTGTGAACAAATAGTAAAACATAATGTCAATTCGACCATAAAAATTTTGCAGCGGGTTTAAATTAAGGTTTAGAAAGGGCACACAATTTTTTAGAGATACTTGTCATAATAAACGATGATCAATACTAAAAATACCTATTTTTACATCTTAAAATATTTCAACATTTTGCTCTATAAACAATTATTTATTGCAAAAATTATTTATTTTATTGATTTTTGATGACCTATTCGTAATCCTCTCATTTTGCTACATGAAATTAAAAAATGCTACCGTTCCAGAGAAAAGTCATCTCTTATCGCGCATACGCATATTGAAAGCCATGCTGCTGTCAGTCATCCCCACTCCTGTTCTGCCGAGAAATTACAACGATAAAAGATAACATTTCTCGGGAAATTTAAAAAAAATCTAAAAATGGTTATAAAAGTGTATTGATCATTGTTTATTACGACAACAAGTATCTCTAAAAATTTGCGTGCCCTTTCTAAACTTTAATTTAAACCCACGGTATGCGATAAACTTTCTGAAATTTTCTTAATTAACAATCCTGTCAATCGAAAACCACGCTATCGATCGTTGCAAAATTTTAGGGTAGAATATATGTTTTACTATTTATCCACAAAGTTTCATCAATATTTATAAATATTAACTTATTTTAAAAATCGCTTCAAATATACATATGATTTTCTACTATTTTTCGTCCATTGTTAATGCAAAACTCAACTTTTTTTATTCGCAGTTGTTAGCAATGATTTTTTGGGATAGGCAAACGCGGATTCTTATTCTACAAAGTATTTGGGATTTTTCTGTACAACAAAATAGATGACTTCAAATAAAAACGTCTGGAATGTTCTACCGCCTGGACTATAAAAAATGGCACTACATACTTCGAATACGTAACCTCGAAAGTTATTTTTTTAATAACTTTTTTCCATCTAACAGAATTTTGGTAAATTTATTGTTGGTAATAAACTGCATCTACGAGAGAAAATCGTGCTTATTAGTTTTTCAAAAATTAAACAATCCTTGAAAATCGCGAGAAAAAACACGCATTTAATATTTTATTACACCTTTTTCCGTTCAAAGCTTATAAATTTTTACTGCTGTTGTTAAATTCCACAATTTTTATTAAATTAACCAATGTAGTTAAGTGTAGCAGATTTTAATGCTTTCAAAAGTATAGAACATAATTTTATTTTACATTCAAATCCTGCTCTAGTCCACGCTAATTATCCGAAAAAAACGACAAATGGAAGAAATAATTCATATACAAATAAAGTCGTAATTAATTAGCGTGGACTATTCGTCTATATTGCAAAATAGATACATTTTTATGGGTTTTATAGATTGTCTTCAAAACAGTTTTTTTTTTCTTGCAAAGGTTAATATTATCGAGTTAGATCAGGAACACTTTTTCTTGTGCGATTTTCGAATGATCTTAGATGCTGAGTGAAATATTCCATGAAAAAATGTAAGTGGAAACATTATCATAAATTTTCTAGACTTTTTTTCATGATTTTTTTGTGATGCAGTTTTTTTAAAGTAATAATTGTACCAAATTTGGAAAAATTTGACTTATTCCAAAAAGAGTTAAGTATGGCAAAATATTAAGAAAAAATAAATAACTACGAGTATAATAAATAACTGAGGTTATGTAACTCAATCAATATTGAGTTTTCAACAAATTGTCAGAAGAGTATGTATCATTACAAGCTATTATTTAACTTCACATGTATGTTTGTTTGTATGTATAAGAACATATAAGAACATGAACATATTAATTATAGATAGTACGTGTCTGTTTATCATATTTTTGCTGATGACACTTTTATAGAGCAGCCATATTCAACTCTTTTGTGGGTTTGGGATTTACACAATATTATGGGTTTTATAAACTGCGTGTTTTTTTTTTAGTGCATTTCAATAAAAGCTTGTTTTTAAAATATTTTTTTTTACTTTTCATTTATTTTTATATTTTATCAGTAGAAAATCGCTAACGATAAGTTTAGTTCTATCCTAACTTCAACCTAATCTTAAACCCTGGTCTGAACTGAAGCATAACATTTTTATCTTGTTTATAAAGATCTGGTCTAGGAATATTGAAAATATATCGATACCTATATCAAATGAACGATTCTTACGGTATTTTTAGCCTATAATTGGTTGGTAGTGTGTCCGACTCGATTTGATCGAAATTCCACTTGCATGATGTTCTTTTATATTAAGATTTACGAAAATTAAATCATAGTGATCTAGACATAACATATTCTCTCTCTCTCTCCCCCTCTCTCTCTCCCCGTAAACTCCGTCGATAAATATACCTAATAGCTGTTTTACATTGACAATTTATTGATCAATTAATTCATGAAGTCGCTTCATCAAGAAATTGGAAAAGTGTAATGCACCAAATCAGCTGTCAAATAACTTCTTGACTTTATTCATCAAGTTTTTGATGAATTAGAGCATGTTCTAATTTTCGTCAATTTCTTCGTGAAGTTCGGAAGTGCCAACCCAATAGATTTCCAGCCTCAGATCAGTAATGAGGTTATGTTATTGGAATATGTAAATAATTGTATGGCGTCGTACTAATTTTGCATTGTTTTTACTGATTTGTTACTTACCCTAATATTTATATAATATGTGTCAGAACGGTACCACGTTTGTATCACTACAATTATTAATGGAAAGGTGACATTTTTGAAATTTATTTGCTTCTTTGATTCGTTGGTAGAACTGATTAATGCGTCAAAAAACTTGACAAAGTCTGTAGCAGTGTAAAACCACACTGTTTACCAATAAATTCGTGAATTAATTCATGAAGAACTTCGTCATTTTATTCATCAATAAATTGTCAATGTAAAACAGCTATAACAAATTTTAAGGAGGTGGTTTTGGAGAATAATATAGCGTAAAATTGATATTTTTTAAGATAACACCACTAATCTGCTCTTAATAGTTTATTTTATTTTAAGAAATGGTGACAGACATGCCAGCGTCAGAAGGGAGATATCTTTTTCTTGCCCTAGAAAGTAATAAGTGATTAATTTGATTGCGCTAGTAAGACTAAGCTAGATTTTCATAGATCTGTACAACAAAATCATAACCCAAGATTCAATTGGGCTAAGCTATTCTATAAAGTCACTATAATTTTTTTTCTCATAACTATATATATTTATATTTATAAATTATATTATATATTACATATTATATTTTGTATATATTATTTTATCTATAGATATTTATTATTAACAGTAAACGAAACCGAAAGAAATGTTTATGTCTATTTAAGTTTTAATTTCAATGCAAAAAATACAAATATTATTCCATGTAAATAAAAATACCACTTCCAAATTACTGATAAGTTTGAAAGCAAAATCGCCGTGGTTACTCGACACCCAGAACCCCCGGGGATTGGGCGCCTATGGTAAGGACGGAGCAATTTTCTTAGAATCTGACTATGTTATGAAACAGATAATAATTAAATAATTTTGTTACGTTTTCCATATGATTTACATCAAAGTACAAATTCCATATTTATGAATTGCTTTTTATACTGTTTCAAACTTGTTTACAAGCTACAGTTATCGCTTTAGAGTAGAACCGCGTCCGTTTTCGCCATTACCGAATAAAAGTGTATGCAAATATCGAAAAGTAGGTACGCATATTTACGAATGTAGTAAAATGATGTCGAAACCCGTCCTCCTCTGAATGGCAATGGCTACTCGTACTTGAATTCTAAACTATAGACATTACGAAACCCCTGCGCAAACAGATACGCTAAAATCCTTAATCTTGTTTGATTAGTACAATTACATCGAAAAGTTATGACACGGCGGCCGATACGGTGCAGCAAGCGCTGTTCGCGGGACACATCGCGTCGCTTATCCACTTGGTTCGGTTCAGGAGTCTAGTTTCGGTTCGAATTGTAGGAAGGACGCGCGGTGGAACGGCGGCCCGGCTAGCGCGACCCACGGAGCAGTCGTGTAGGTGCGCCGTACCTGTCGGAACCGATAATGCTTATCACTTCGCCGTGTTCGTGTAGACCGCGACGCGATAACGACGACCGAGCTGACTCAGTGCTTTCTTCGGCTTCGCAGTATGCATACTCAGCACCGCTAGCCGACTGATTTGCGNTTGTTACGTTTTCCATATGATTTACATCAAAGTACAAATTCCATATTTATGAATTGCTTTTTATACTGTTTCAAACTTGTTTACAAGCTACAGTTATCGCTTTAGAGTAGAACCGCGTCCGTTTTCGCCATTACCGAATAAAAGTGTATGCAAATATCGAAAAGTAGGTACGCATATTTACGATTGTAGTTATATGATGGCTACTCGTACTTGAATTCTAAACTATAGACATTACGAAACCCCTGCGCAAACAGATACGCTAAAATCCTTAATCTTGTTTGATTAGTACAATTACATCGAAAAGTTATGACACGGCGGCCGATACGGTGCAGCAAGCGCTGTTCGCGGGACACATCGCGTCGCTTATCCACTTGGTTCGGTTCAGGAGTCTAGTTTCGGTTCGAATTGTAGGAAGGACGCGCGGTGGAACGGCGGCCCGGCTAGCGCGACCCACGGAGCAGTCGTGTAGGTGCGCCGTACCTGTCGGAACCGATAATGCTTATCACTTCGCCGTGTTCGTGTAGACCGCGACGCGATAACGACGACCGAGCTGACTCAGTGCTTTCTTCGGCTTCGCAGTATGCATACTCAGCACCGCTAGCCGACTGATTTGCGCGTTTGTGTTGCAGGCCATCAAGAACGAGCCCGAGCAGACGGCGGTCCAGCCAGCCGCCGCAGACGTCGACAGAAAGCCGAAGCTGAAGGCCCCGCCCAAGAAGATCAAATCGGAAAACGGCGGCGAGTCCAAGACCTTCGGCGGTTCCGATTTCATCCATCCGGACGACATCATCCACCACGCCAATGGCAAGGTGTACATCAAGAGCAAGTGCAAACAGTGCAACTACAAATCCGCTTGGGACACCGAGATGGCCAAGCACGAGAAAAAGGTCCACAACATCCACCGGGAGGAAAGCAAGCCAGTGATCAAGAAACCGGCGAGGCCCATCCCCAACCTCATCCCCATCCCGGCGCAGACCTCGGTGTTGAAGCTGGGCCACCAGAGGCCCCTGTATCCGGTGCTGAAGACTGCGCCGGACATCCCCGAGCCCAGCGAACCGATAATGAGCCAGAAGGTCGTCAACGACATCTGGGCGAAATCTGGCAACAGTGCGTTGAAGGACTTTGCCTCGCTGTTCGATTCCGAGGACGTATTCAAAGCCTCCACCCCCAAAGTACCTGATCTCATACCCGCCTCCATCTACAATTCCTCGCCCAAAAGCAAACTAGGCGAAGTGTTCAAGCAGAAGAACGCCTCGTTCTTCGACAACCTCAGGGAGAAGCTGGAGCAGGGCACCGGCGGCAGCTGCAACCTCATCTGCAGCCTGTGCGGTCACGAGAGCAAGTGCCTCACCGAGCAGGTCAAGCACCAGAAGACGTGCGGCAAAGAGACCAACAAGGTGCAGACCGTCGTTCGTTCCCACAACATCAGCTCCTCCCGCTGCAAATTCTGTAGACAGAGATGCAAGTCGAGCGCAGATCTATACAATCACCTGCAAACGTGCCCCGAAGCCTTGAAGGCCGAAATCGTAGACATCAAGATGGAACCCTTGGATGTCAAGGAGGAGATGGACACTTATTCTGAACACGAACTAAGGATAGACGAAGACCAGAGCACCGAAGATTCCGAGATCAAACCGCACCCCATGGAGAACAAAGTGTTCGTGTGGAACGACATCATGGTGCCGATGGATATCGAGGTCGACGATTCCAACTACGAATACACTGATGACAAAGTGGACGACAACGTCTCCTTGGACCTCTCCGTACGCACACACTCCCCCATGGGCAGCGAGAGCAGTTACCTGGGTCCCGACTTGACCGCGACCAACCACAACGTTCACCACTCGCCCTTACCCACCACCGACAAAATTCCCACCCACGGCAACGACATCTCCGTGGCGCAGCACAAGCGCGTGTTCAAGTGCCCGCATTGCACCTTCTGGGCCTCCACGGCGTCGCGCTTCCACGTCCACATCGTGGGTCACTTAAACAAGAAACCCTTCGAGTGTTCCCTCTGCTCCTACCGCTCCAATTGGCGATGGGACATCACCAAACACATCAAACTCAAGTCGGTGAGGGACCAGGCCCACGAGTCGGCCAAGGTGCTGATGACCGACGAGACGGGCAGGCGGAACTACACCAAGTACAACAAGTACCTGACGGAGATCCCGGTGAGCAGCGATCAGAGCATGGACACCAGCGGGGGCTGCGGCACCAGACCGAAACACCACGACCGCAACAACTCGCCCTCCACCAGCAAATCGGACCTGCCCAAGCTGCCCAGGGCGCCCAACAGCTGCGACTTCAGTCCCCTGCTGAAGAACTCGCCGCTGCGCTCGCCACCAGGGCTGAGGGTGGCCGACATGGTGGCCAACCACTCCTCGGCGAGGATATCGGAAAAGAAACGGCCCAGCACGGAGGGGAAGAAGACGCTGTTCAAGTGCAAGAAGTGCAATTTCAGGTAAGCCGCTAATTACGACGATAACCGCGTAATTTGCCGTTCAAGGCCGCCTATTTAGCGAGGCGCTTATTACTTCTGGGAAATTTTTTCGTGGCATGCCATTTAAAAGAGGCACGTGGCAATCGCTGTTCGCGCAGACCGCAGAAATTTACTCGGCACTTCGACGATGAACTGGATTAAATTAATTCGTTGTGGCACTCATTAAAATTCAATCAGAAACTTTTTCAGCTGCTAATAAAATATAACTAAATGGGACATCTTTTTCCAAGTGACAGTAATTGTGGAATTTTTTTGAAACGATCAATAATTAACAGAACTGTGTAAAAAAAATAATGTAAACCGCATTTGCCAGGATTATCTCCTCATATCTATTGTTGTAAGTTTATCAAAATAAAGTACATAATTCGAGTCGCAAAGCAAAAGCTATGAAAAAAATTAATACATTAGAAAATAAAAATAAAAATGCTATTTATGAAATATCAAACCTACAGGGTGTTCCATTTAAAACGAGTTCCTCTATAACGCTCGTAATATCAATAATACAAAGAAATGTTTCAAATAAAAATTGCACCAAATCAATTTGTCCGCATTTTAAAATGATTTTCTGTTGTACAGTATGTTCCATTTCTTCTGCGCGTTACTTGACTTCATTTGAGGTTTCTGACCAAATGGCGATATTTGAAAATACGGCTTTTAAATAAAACAAACAAGTTACAAATGTTATACTGAAATCGCAAAAAAATATATATGAAATATCAATTTTAAAATATTAATAATCAAATAAGAAAGAAACTTGAATAGTGAAGTACATTTGTAAATTATTAAAACGAGAATCAATTTTCTTTAGAAAAATAGAACATAATAGCACTTCTCTAAAAAGAACAGCTGTTAATACTCGTATTGACCTTAAAAATTTGAGTCAAGGTCAAAGACAAGGTCACCGCTAAATCTATTTCTTTCTTAATTTTTTTTTTGATAGGATTTCATCATGAAAAGTTATCGGGGGGGTTTGGGTCTTTTTGGCACAGCCGATATAATNAAATTTTTTCGTGGCATGCCATTTAAAAGAGGCACGTGGCAATCGCTGTTCGCGCAGACCGCAGAAATTTACTCGGCACTTCGACGATGAACTGGATTAAATTAATTCGTTGTGGCACTCATTAAAATTCAATCAGAAACTTTTTCAGCTGCTAATAAAATATAACTAAATGGGACATCTTTTTCCAAGTGACAGTAATTGTGGAATTTTTTTGAAACGATCAATAATTAACAGAACTGTGTAAAAAAAATAATGTAAACCGCATTTGCCAGGATTATCTCCTCATATCTATTGTAAGTTTATCAAAATAAAGTACATAATTCGAGTCACAAACCAAAAGCTATGAAAAAAATTAATACATTAGAAAATAAAAATAAAAATGCTATTTATGAAATATCAAACCTACAGGGTGTTCCATTTAAAACGAGTTCCTCTATAACGCTCGTAATATCAATAATACAAAGAAATGTTTCAAATAAAAATTGCACCAAATCAATTTGTCCGCATTTTAAAATGATTTTCTGTTGTACAGTATGTTCCATTTCTTCTGCGCGTTACTTGACTTCATTTGAGGTTTCTGACCAAATGGCGATATTTGAAAATACGGCTTTTAAATAAAACAAACAAGTTACAAATGTTATACTGAAATCGCAAAAAAATATATATGAAATATCAATTTTAAAATATTAATAATCAAATAAGAAAGAAACTTGAATAGTGAAGTACATTTGTAAATTATTAAAACGAGAATCAATTTTCTTTAGAAAAATAGAACATAATAGCACTTCTCTAAAAAGAACAGCTGTTAATACTCGTATTGACCTTAAAAATTTGAGTCAAGGTCAGAACAAGGTCACCGCTAAATCTATTTCTTTCTTAATTTTTTTTTGATAGGATTTCATCATGAAAAGTTATCGGGGGGGTTTGGGTCTTTTTGGCACAGCTGATATAATTTATTTCTAGCAACTTCTGTATAACATTTGTAACTTTTTTGTTTTATTTATGAACCGTGTCTCAATAAAGAGACGAAAAGTCGACATTCTGAAAATTTGTGTCTTCTATCCAAAACACAGCGTTTGGTGTTATTTGATATTTTTAAAAGAAATTGGCGTTGCAAATTGTATTTACAGGAATGGGCGTTAGAAGTTTTTAAATTTTAGGATCATGGATAACGTGATTTTTTAAATAACACAAACAGATGTAAAATAAATTTAATTTTATCTTTCTCATATCTTTTGTAGTTATTTTAACACCAAAACCAGATGCCAATTAGTAGCACTGCTTCCAACCAAAAAGAGTTAAAACAGCGATCTAACAAAGTATGACTTTTTCCCACTGCAAATTTNATAACACAAACAGATGTAAAATAAATTTAATTTTATCTTTCTCATATCTTTTGTAGTTATTTTAACACCAAAACCAGATGCCAATTAGTAGCACTGCTTCCAACCAAAAAGAGTTAAAACAGCGATCTAACAAAGTATGACTTTTTCCCACTGCAAATTTTTCAACTGTTGATGAAGATTTTAAGGAAAGTATTCCATTATAATTAATTCTGAACAAGTATTATTGTTGTTTTTCTAGTAATTTTGCATTTCTATTTATGAACAATTTTGTTATGTGTACCTCATTTTCAAGGTCATACGTTGACTTTTATGTGATCATATTTTGATAAAAATTATGGTTGCTTTGACAGGAAATTAATTTGTAACTATTATTATAACACTAGGAAACTTTTACTTTAAACGATGCTTAAACATTTTTTTTACACTTTATTTCGGCTTTGAAAATTCCATTATTTTGTATCATCAACTTTTCAACTCGAAAATAACAACAAAAAAAACATGAAAAGCTCAATACACTTTAATAAAATTGAAAATATATTAATTTTGTGGTAAGGTCCACAATTAGATACATTTTTCTATTTGAACGCAAAAGATAGTTATTTTCATATTTGAATAAACTATGAAAACCATATCGCGTTATCATGTTTAGTTTTACAGATATTTGATATTTGTGTGCAATTAAGAATAATTTTGAAGTGTGAAGAAACTGATTCGGTGCAATTTTTATATTTTTGAAACATTTCTTTGTATATTGCTATTACGAAAGCTAGGGGAGAATCCGTTTTAAACGAGACACCCTGTATATACGAATTATAATTAATTATATAATTCCTCGGTATGCCTAAGAAGTATTTATATTAATGCAGATTTATTTAACATAAACACATGTCATTGAAAGGACGCGTGGAAAGTACTATTCTCAAATCATTGTGTTCGCATTGTATTTTTTTTCTCGACCTGTTTGAGACGCGTGAGGAACAGGTGGGCGCGTGACAACACAAACATTATCTGCCAGCTTATAATTCAATCTAAAATAGTGAATGATGTAGTAAGACTCCGTGAACAAATATGGTAGGTAAAGGTAGCTAAAAAAAGGTGTTAAAAACATCAATTAACATAATCGACGATGATTTATGAAGGCTGACTAAATCCTGGCCGATGATATTACGTTATTTTTTTTATAAAGGATTATACTATTGACATTTTGATACAGGGCGCGCCAAATTCAATTTTCTATGCGATAAAAACTAGGAAAAACGACCAAGTCATTTATTACTCACTTCAGAAGCACTTCAATGGTATATTGCGGATCTAACTTCTTTAGTCCAATTGAGTACTGAGGAAGATAATAAAGATTATCAAAACGTTGATCGGTGAAAAATTAATGTATTTTAGTTATTTTCCGACTCTTCAAATCCCTCCTAAAAAATAAAAGACATAAAAAAGCGAGAGATAAAAGAAGGTTCACATCTGGAAAAAATCGTATCTACGTTAAGTACCTATTATAAATTAACAAAAAATTTACAATGTTTGGAAACGCTCTGTACTGTACATAAAACGCTATATTTTTAAGATTCTTTAACAGACTGTTTCATTAGTCATATTTTCAAGTAGGCAACGGTATATTAAGAAAACATCAAATGCCGATTGTAAAACAGGTGTTTTCGATATAAACAAACCGCCAACAAATTGTAAATGGATGACTGGACAGATGTTATTAGCCAATTATTATTAATTTCTCGAAAACTGCTTCGAATTTTCCTTTTTAGACGAGCGATTTACCCCTAAAAAAAGGCATGAATCGACTAAATTTTTAAAACAAAAACCTACAGCATGAAACTTTTTTATTTTATAAAATGTGTTTTTCTGATAATTTACATATATTTTTTATATTTTTCGGCGTGGTCAGTCAATTATTATAAACAAAAAAGTTGTAAAAAAAATTACTCGCCGAATTGCTTTGAAGTCTAGTTTTTTATTGTAAAATGGACCAAATTAAACACTTGTTGTTCTTTGACAAAAATTTTAAAAATGCTTCGTTTCCGAGATAATTACAATTTAATGTGAAAAACGTGACGAAATCGACAAATTTCGGAATTTTTTTCTCAAAAACTACAGAATAGAATTTAATTCTAAAAAAAGCATAATATTCGGCAGATTTTCTACTTTAAGATATATTTTTTTGGTATAGGTCAATTATTTTATTGAAGGTCTAAAGCGAGTAAAAAAAAGTCAAAGGAAACTATGATACATCAAATTTAAATTTTCTTTTCACAATATTACAATATCTTGTATTAGATTATATTTACAATAAACATTATTATGATTTTTTTAATCGATATTATGTTAACAGTACAAATGTTCAAAAGATCATTTTGTTTGGTTTTGTAGCCGGAGTAAGGTTTTTGCAAGTAATTAGTAAAATTTAAATATTCGATTTTTGGTTTTATAAATGGCTAAAATTGACTTGAAAGTTATACCAAAACTAAACTAAATAAGCTTTTTAAATCGTAAAATTAACCTAATAATAATAATTGACCTAGCGGTCTCGAAAAATAAAAAAGTTATTGGATAATTTATTGTATAGGATAATTATTTTATTTTTATTTTACAAAAATATTAAGAGCAATAAAAGTATATTAATTTCTTTTTTATTTAATTTTTAAATAATAAGTTTTTCGTTATTTTCGACAAGTTCTTGAGTTGAAATAAGCGTTTCATCATCAATTTCGAATGGAACATTCTGACATTCATCTGAGCACGCACAGACTGCAGAGCATTACAGGTTCGATGACAAACAGTTACAATTTTTCGTAGAACATTTTCCACTACATGAACAAAAATATTTTTGAAGCATCTAACGCAGTTTCTCCTTCGAAATAATTAAAATCCAAACAACCATTTTCGATTTCCCATCCATCCATGTGTCAATGGATCTAGAGTTACAATTTCACTATTTGTTTTGTTTTTTGTACTCGCATTAAACCTTCAATAAAATAATTGACCTATACCAAAAAAAAATATGTCTTAAAGTAGAAGATCTGCCGATTATTATGCTTTTTTAGAATTAAACTCTGTTCAATAGTTTTTAAGAAAAAAATTCCGGAAGTTTGTCGATTTCGTCACTTTTTTCACATTAAATTGTAAATATCTCGGAAACAAAGCATTTTTAGAATTTTTATCAAAGAACAAAAACTGTTTATTTTGGTCCATTTTACAATAAATATTTTATTTATAACAATTGACTGACCACGCCGAAAAATATAAAAAGTATATGTAAATTATCAGAAAAACACACTTTATAAAATAAAAAAAAGTTTCATGCTGTAGGTTTTTGTTTTAAAAATTTTGTCGGTTACCTTCATTTAGAAGCATCTTCTTAGGGGTGAACCGCTCGCCTATTTAGCGATGAGGATTTTTGGACCAAGAGTTTGTTTAATTGACGAACTATTTACAGGAACCAACTCCTAAAACAACTATTAACCTCGTTTCTGCCTCGGATTCGATGTTAGCAGCGAAAAAAAAACGCCTTACGGTAATAGTAGGTTAATATGTTCCCTTTCCGAACATTTTCCGAAAGATTAAATTTGTCACTTATCGGTGCTGTATGAAAACAATGCGACATTGCATTGATAAAGCCATTATCTTTAAAAAAAAGTCCCACACGAACTAGTCCGTTACATCATTTCAACCACGATAACATTTTGTGGACTTGCGGTAGAATTTAGACTTTGTCCAAAATTTAAAATATGTTACTGTACTCACATGTGTACAGGATATTAAAAAATTACGGTTTTGTGGAGAAAATAAAAGAAAAACTAAACTGCTAATCACAACTAAACAGATTATGGGATTTTTCAATCTTAGAATTTTTTATGAAGGTTTTTATGTATGTAGATTCCCACAATGTTTTTGTCAAACTACTATTTTTCTCATCGTATGAACACTTAAGTGTGGGTTGTTTAATTTAAAACTCCCATTAAAACTGATTATTACCTCCAATAAATTCCTGAATTTTGTCATTTATTGTTATGAATAAATTTAATTCCCAATAAAAACTACATTGCATTGTTTGAATGTCTTGTAGTATCAAAAGCTAAACGAAATATGTAGTGTAAATTTTCAATACATATATTTTTAGGAGGGATTGGTGGTTTTCAAAGAACAAGTTGGTAAATTTAAGGAAACGTCTAATTTACCAGTACCAGAATTTAATATCCGATCACAAATTAACCCCTTTACCTTCAGTGTCTTAGAACACTTTGTTTTCACGCGAAGGTCATTCATAGGGCACTTTAGAATAGAAGTGCTATTCGACGAAGAAAGATCCAACCTACACAATGACACAAAAATCAATCCGATCGGACCACCCCTGCGCCCAGCGGTGGCGATCGAACATTTGTCGCACTTTTAGGGTTTACGCTAATGACTCCTCAAATACCTTTAGGTATTCAAATTAGTCACTGCAATTAGTGGTATATGTTAATATACAGGATGTCCACTTTTAGAGTGGAAAAGAGTTGAAATTATTTTTATTTTTCATTTTACGAGAAAAAGGTATTCCTGATTAAAATTTTTGCTTATCTTTAAAATGCGGTTGGCATGGAGAACTTTCATCTTGCATGTACAGGGTGATCAGAAAATCGGCAAATATAGAAATCGTTCAATTTTTCCTCAAAAACGGTGCATCCTACGAAAAAAAATGAAGAGACCAATTTCATTAAGAATTGATGGCTGATTTCTAAATAAATATCAAAACTGGAAAAGTNTCGTAAAATGAACAATAAAAATGTTTTACTGTTCGTTTCTATCAAAGTAGGCCGATTCATACACAAATTGAAATTATAATATAATAAATTTAAATTCTAAGCGTTAAAACGAAGGTATTCTTGAACGATTTTTATATTTGCCGATTTTCTGATCACCCTGTACATACAAAATGAAAGTTCTCCATGCCAACCGCATTTTAAAGACAAGCAAAATTTTTTATCAAGAATGCCTTTTTCTCATAAAATGAAAAATAAAAATATTCTCCCTCTTTTCCACTCTAATCGTGGACATACTGTATATGTGTTATTGTCATTTGTTTAAATAATGGTTGCTCTTCAAAATAGATTAAAAATATAAGAGATGAACAAACAACAAATAGATGAATAACGCAGTCTCAAAATAAATAGACTTTTATTTTTTATACAGGGTGTTTGAAAATAAGTGCGAAATATTTTAGGGTGTGGTTGTAAAAGTTATTTTGTGAAAGAAAGTTCATGGATTCGACGTAGGCCGAAATATGCTTCGTTTCCGAAATACAGTGTTTAATAAGTTTTAATTTTGTATTTATTTTCATTAATTCAAAATCATTAAAAGTCAAAGACTTTTAATGATATTGACTCGAAATTTGATGGTTGTAATCTATTTAGAAATATTGACAGCAACCTGCTAGATAATGTATCAATAGAAATTAAAAATACACAAACTTGCAATAAAATATGTTTTACGTTTTTTCCTCAAAAACGGTGCATCCTACGAAAAAAAATGAAGAGACCAATTTCATTAAGAATTGATGGCTGATTTCTAAATAAATATCAAAACTGGAAAAGTCAGTGTCGTACCATTTTTTTTTTTATTAAAAAGTAGAAATATTCTGATTACCCCAAAAAATGCACATTTATCCCTTCAAGCCGTTTTCAAATTTCGAGTCAATATCTTTGAAACTCTAAATTTTATTTTTTTATTTATTTTTATTAATTACTTCAAACACGCCCTGTATATGGGTATTTTCGAATATGTAACTATTTTTCTACCCCCAACAATACAGGGTTATTAACATAATATTCTACTCCCTTTTTTTGTCTTTCTGTCTAGAAAAAAAATTATAAAGACCAAACATATTTAGGAAATTTTCTTGTGATTTCAAACTAAAAGTGAAGATGTAAATCAAACTTGTGTTTTTTTTTAATGAAATAGAGATTTACGTTTTGGGTTCTAACTTTTAAACCACCTTGTATATTTTGATAAAATTTTGGTACTTTTGATATCTTTTACTATTACAAGATACCTTGACTGGCCCCGACACAAAATTTTGACAGATTTGACAGATGCAATGAAATTGAAAATACTATTTAGATGCTTTGAAGATTTTTCATTAAAAATGGTTCATTTGTTTCGATAAAATAAACCGTTTTTTTGATAAATCCGTTTTTAAAACGGACAACAACAGGTAGATATTATTTTTTTTGCAAATGTACATATATTTAATTTATTTGTTTGTCAAGGCCAAAAACCTTTAGAAGGGTCGCTCGTAGTAGTCGTAGTTTAAGAGAAACAAGTTAAAGATTAAAAATAAACAGTTACATAAGAATAAAATATATGTATACTTGCCGGCCATATTATGTAACATATTTGCTTTCATAATTTGCACAATGTATTTTATTTACTGACACTAAACAGCGTACTTAGTGTTGTGTGAAATGTCCCTGATAGAATTTTGAAAAAAAAATTTCTCAAAAGCTAGGTTCGACCGTACAAGAAAAAACAATATAGTAAATAATTCCATATGTTGTACAAACACGTGCACCAAATTTGTTTTTTTTTTCTGGCGTTCTGTCGACATGCCACGTCTAGTGCATTACATAACACTTGTGTTGGCAACACGGATCATAAGAAAATTTCCTAAAACCTTAAGTTAAAGCCTCTAGATTGACCAATATCTAGGAACTTTTTACAATTTTTTCCTAGGTAGAAGAAGATAGCTCAACTTATAAAACTGGGTAGAAGAAATAAAGAAGGTAGAATGTAATGTGAATAGCCTCGCATTTCGGTATTCTCGTACAAAACATAACTGGCCAACTGTTACCAACGAAAATTTTAAACGAACATAACCTCAAATTCGGCGTGATTTCTTGCAGGGACGCTTCTCGGGACATCCTGCTGCAGCACGTGAAGGGCCACTACCAGCAGGCGGGCGGGCCGTCCACCAGCTCGCAGGATCTGAGTTTAAGGGGTACGAGTCCTGATAAAGATGAGGCAAGTGTAAATAACATAATAGGGAAGGGAGGCAGCGCCCCTTTCCGTTGCGGTCACTGCAACCAGGTATCTAATTGGAAGCATGTCATCCAGGTATACTAACATTAGCTTTACTAACCATTAACTACTGTACTAGCCCCCCCTCTCCCCCCGGCCTCGTTATTCTATATTCCTGCGGCAAGGTCACCGCGATTAAAAATGTAGCGTTAATGCATTCATTGGTTTTAATTGCTGACGTCGGTCGAGGCGCGAAGAGGACACCGTAAGGGCCTGTTCACGCGTCGACGACGAGTTTTGTCGCGCGATGGGTTTTTATTTAATTTATCAATCGCTCAAATGCGGTACTGCTAATTTTCTTTAAAACATACAACTGCAGGATACCCAGCGTTATTTTTCCATTGGAATATATCAAGAATAAATTAATTAATGTTATAAATAGAGATACGCAGTTAAATTAAAGCGCCCAATTTTATTGTAAACAAACAAAACACAATTATGAAGGAAATATATTCAAAATTAGGTCGTAGGAAATAGACGTCTGATTGTCAGCAAGCGGTACGGTGATAATCCTGCACGAACACCAAACTCCCAGTGAGAGTTTGACATTTGTTCTGCAGTTTTCTTAATGCTTTGGACAATTAGAAACCATTGAAGACCGTGATACAAAGACAAGGAGATATGATATTCACGTAGACTAAAATCGGTTCGCTTGCCGCATGACGTCACATGGAGAGTGATTTAAGTAGTTTACTCTAATAGTTAAGTATCTAATAAATAAGAAATGGTTCTAATATCAAAATAAGTACATGCCCTTCTACATTATTTAGTAACTCTTGTGCGGTTTTTTAATCTAGCACCTTCTGGTGCAAATTACGAATATAGTCCGACGTTTTCAAATTCCATGAAGTGTTAAATAAATATTTACGTCCGCAAACTTGAACACGGGTTTTTTCCGCTTTTGTTTAACAGTGTATCAGGTCTTTTCTGTAACAATTCCTTTGAAATTTCAAGTGCCATAGTAGTTCAAGTAATCAATAATGCTACGTTGCCAAATGTTACGTGATAACTCCATAAAATCAGTTTATTTTAAAGGCTTTTATAATTCAAACAAATAGAATACCGTTTTCACATATTTTTTTAAAACCTCCAAGTTTTTATGGGCCTTTAATAAAAAATTACGGAATATACCTCTACAGGATGGTTCACAAATGGTGACCAAAAATTAAACCTCGTATTGTTTGGTGAATTGGAAGGCGAGTTTTTCCTATAAAGTTTTTATCTGCGATGCTTTGTTAAAAAGATACAGGTGATACTTAAAAAAAATATTTTTATTTTTTTTAAATAATTTAAAAATTAGTAAGTGCAATAATTTGAAATTGGGCACATGTACAAAATCTGAGGGCTTTTCCTAAAATTTACATGCTCCAGTGAAGTTGTTGAAAATTAAATTTTCTACAAAACAGTTCCTATGAAAAATTTCGATTTTCCCAATAGTTTTTCCGTATATTTTTTAAATTTATAGAGTATAAGAAAATTAATGTTTTGGAGCCAGTTCATTTTACCAAAAGTGAATTAATGAAAATTGCGGAAAATCTTTGGAAAATTTGAAAATTTTATATTTTCCACATTTTTCACAAATAGAATCTGAACCATCCAAAATATACTGGTTGAGGAAAATTGTGCCAAATAATGGGCTTTGTTTTATAGGATAAATATTTATATATAAACCTCGATTTCCTTGGCGTATCCATCTAAAATGAATGGGTTCTATTCTTGTACGACACCTACGATTTACGAAATATCGAAAAATCCACGAGGACAGGAAAAATATTTAGAAAAAACTGCCAACTCTCCGTAAACGTAACTAACAGACACATAATAATAGAATCCTTACAGGAAAATTTATTACTTGTGGGTATTTCGTATTATGTTAAAATAGAAGTTTTGCCATGTTGCCAAACGTACGAGAAATTCCTTGAATGTAAAGATTTGTCTGCCATAAAAAAAAATCGCAATATTTCACAAATGTGACATATTTTCAAAATATAGAATAACGAGGTATTTCTGCATGTGCATGCATGTGAATTTTTCTTTTTTTTTGAAATAATTAAGTATGAAGTAACTAACCAAACACGATTACTAATAATTCTGAAGTCGTAAAGCCATAATCCCACAAACATAATGTTATCATCACCGAAACGATCCCACCTGCCTTATCTTTGTTCTTTGTACTAACGAAAAAATTGTTACAGTCTTAACAGTTTTGTCGCAATATCGCATGATCGGTACTTTCGATAACGGCCCTTATCTGGCATGCATTACTAATATTTTAGCAACGACTGCAATAACATGTATATTAAGATAACGGGAGATAATTTTTAACACAAAGGAAAACCGAATTGCTGCTTTGCTGCCAGTGCGAACACCAGAACCGCGAAATTTTTCCTGAACTCGCACGTAAATTGTAATAAAGGCGCGTACTCACTCACAGTGTTCGCGAACGTTCGTGGCGTTTGCAAACGCCTTAACGGTTTTGTTTCGAAACAGATAATGCCATCGGAATAAACAATTAGTTTTAGGGTCAATATAATTTTTATTTGGGTAATTTTACAGCTGAGAGTAAATTTAAACGATAAGATAAAATTGTTTAACCAAAAATCGCTATGAATTAAATACCGGTTAGTAATGTGAGAAAAGATGTGTTATCTTTTATGTCGAGCAATCTAATAATCACTAGTTTAATGTTAACGTGAAATTTCACTGTTTCTATAAAGTACATGTTGAAAGTAGTACCTACGTGGACAACGATTTCTACCCCTTTTTACTTATCTGCTAAGAAGGCCTAAAATTTTAATAAAATTTAATATTTCAAAGATATATTTAAACAATTTTTTTCGGGATTACATTAATATGATTTAATAGGTCTATTTCTAATGATAAGGGGGATATGGCAAATACTGTGGGTGAGATATAATGTACAAAGTACATTATGTCATACTTTAAATATCATTGGTGTTCTGTTAGATTATGTACACTTAGACCAGGCGGTATCTGTTTTGGTTTGGGTGAATCGTATATCCACGGAGATTTTTGGCGTTTTGGCTTTCAAATATCACTAGAATTGAAAATTTTTCTATGCGCATAAAAAAAACGTGGGCTTAACTTTTGGCGGCACAATATGTTTAAAAAATGCGAAAAATGTTATATTTTTCTTCCTATTTAATTATGTATCTTTTCAAGAGTTGATTTTAGGCGAAAATGGAAAAGGAAAAAAATTTTTGCAATTAAATTTTTTACAAAACATGTCAAGTTAAAAATCGAATGAATCATGATTATTATGGTAAAAATCGAAACAATCGCAAAAATGGGGTTAAAAAAAAATACTTTTTAGGGAATTTTTTTGGGGTATTTAAATTGGGTATAGGACCTTTATACTTGGCTCAAAAAAACTTCATGTTATGTAGAACTATCACACCAAATTTCATCAAAATCGGTTCGATAGATTTTGCATAACAATTTTGCAATCCAGATTTTGAAAAAAAAATTTACAAATTTTCAAAATTTTGCACAGCAAAAATCAAGGCCCTTAGATACTTGAAAATTTAATCACATATAGAAGGGCTCTCGAGCTTTCAAACTTTTTTTGAAAAATCCGAATCCGTCAATTAGGAGAGCTCTGGCGCTTGTTTAAACATTGGTCGAATTTTTGTACATACTTATAAACAATTAGAACTTTGTGAATATTCAGTAAAATGAATTTTTTTAAAGCAGGTTTTAAAAGCTTTTGGAAAGACGCTTCTTAAAAAAAAAACAGATCGATTGATCAATTAGTTACGTAGTTATAGCCGATTCAATTTCGAGCAGGCCGAAGCGGCCGCGCTCTCTGCTTCTCCCCCCCCCCCATTTTTTTAACATATTATGCCGCCAAAAGTTAAGCTCACGTTTTTTTTATGCGCATAGGAAAATTTTCATTTCTAGTGATATTTGACAGCCAAAAAGCCAAAAATCTCCGTGGATATACGATTCACCCAAATATGGCTTTTTGAAACAGATACCGTCTGGACTAACTTTAATATTTACATTTTCACATTTTTGGTTGGTCTCACCTTAAGAGTTTTTATATATTCTTTCAATTGTATTTTTTAGAGTTTTTTGTCTATTTTGTAGTATGTATCTTTCATACATGTTTTTTTTTTTTTTACTAAGAATATTTAGGTTTGATTGTTTCATACGACAATTAAACAAAGATTTGTATTTGTTCTGAATGTATAACTGCTTTGTCCTGAAAATGAGAAATTAAAAGTTGGCAACTCTATTTGTGGGTTATATTATTGATATTATAAGGGCATCTTCTAGAAACCACTACTTTTTTATTTTCAGTGATTTTAAAAACTGTGGATGCACTTTTTTCCGAGTGCACTCATGCGCAGAAATAAAACAAACAAATAATAAATTTTTTTATAGGATTTGAGGTCAGAACATGTGTCACGTACACAACCATCAGCAACATACAGCGTTTTGAGATATACGAGTAGATGCACAAATATGTATGATTTTTCGCGTTTTTTGACCAAAAACAGCCAATATCCCAATGAGGATGCATTTTCTCGAAAAAATAAAAGTTGTTCAAAATTAAATTTCCTACAAAATTGCTCCTATGAAAAATTTCGATTTTCCAAATAATTTTCTCGTAAATGAAGTACAGATTGTGTGAAAATTAATGTTTTGAAGCCAAATAATGGCCAATTCATTTCTAAATAACAAAAGTGAATTAGAAGAAAAAAAATTGCCATCAAACGTAGATTTTCGAGTGTACACCACATTACGATTTAATTATGCGCTTTTTAATATATTCCAGAAAAATATGTTTTCTTTGATTTTTTTTTACTTTTGAGTATTAAAAAATAAAAATTTGTAATATGATGAAATTGAAAATTTAAAATTGATCACGATAGAAAAGGAATTTTCTGGAGATGCAAAGGTATAATAAAAAAAATTATATGAATATAATTTGTTTTTATTTATTTATAATTAAATGACAACTTTTTTTATTTACAATTTTTAACAATTTTTTATGGACTTCCATAAATATCCATGTTTCTGTAAAACTGCTTCATCGCTGTCACAAAAAAATTTAAAAAAAAACAAATTTTTCTGGAAAATATTAAAAAGTGCATAATTAATTCGTAATGAACATCCTCGAAAAGCTAAAAGTATAAGATTTTTCAAGAATTTTACGCACTTTTCTTTTTTCTATTTCACTTTTGCGATTTAAAAATGAAAATGAAACATTAATTTTCACATAATCTGGTACTTCATTTAAAAAATATGCGGGAAAACTATTAGGAAAATCGAAATTTTTCACAGGAGCAATTGTGTAGAAAATTTAATTTTGAACTTTTATTTTTTCGAGAAAATGCATCCTCATTGAGATATTGGCAGGTTTTGGTCAAAAATTGTAAGCTCGCTAAGTTCGCTTATTCCGTCTTTTTATGTCTAACATTCCTAGACAAACAGAAGAGATAGACAATAATAGAAGCTGAAAAGTTACATTAAAAATAAATTAGCGAGAAAAAATTTTTGATTTGACCAATCTGCTAACACAACTTATTACAGACTTTTTTAGCCAAATCTCCTTTATTATGAAAGATGTACCTATGAAAACCGTACATCAAAGTAATCCAAATATAGTTTTAAAATATATAGAAAATTAGATAATCATTTTTCTAATTTTTGCCTTGAAGTCATAAGAAAATACCATGCCATCTTTTACTCAAATCTGGCATTGTCAAGAACGAGCGAATTATTCTCAAAGCGATAGTACATTGAACGTAATGAAATATATTTTGTTTGCATCTTGATTTGTGTAAATAATTAGTACGTGAATGGATGGCGATTTGATATTGACAACTTAATCCTTTTATCAAATGTTTCCTTATCCAATAAACGTCTTCTCTCTCTAACACCTCATTTAATTCTAAAAATATCTCTAACTCGATAGGTATATGTTGCATCGTTTCACTGTTATCTACATTCTAAATTATTTATTTATGAAAACTCATAATTAAATTCAAGCCAAAGGAATGATGCATCATGAACCGTCACGAGTAGGCACACGAAAATAAACTAATTTCTAACGTTTCTAATCACTCCGTCACCAGTTAGATACCGTTGGAACGCTTTTTGAAACAGCGTTGGACGACTAATAAGTTATATGTGGGTTTATTGGACGAGTGGTTTCTTTGAGTTTGGCTTTTGTCGTGGATTTGTGTTTTACGGAATAGCCAACCCCTGATTTTGAAATATCTCATTGTTGCAGAGGCACTGCAGGTTGAAGCACAGTGGCGACGTCCGCGTCGTCAGCAACAAGAACGGCCAAGAAAGAATTGAGGTGGAGGAGCAGACCGACGAGCCAGACCACGTCGATGTGCCCCAGGAAGGCGTTTTCAGGTGCACCTCCTGCCCCTTCTCCTGCGACAATGACCTGGACTACGACCAGCACCGCGTCGGACACGTCCCCACCTCGGAGAGCATCCTCAAGTGCCACTACTGCAACTACTTCGTCTCCAACAAGGAGGACCTGGTGGAGCATCTCAGGCTGCACGGCATCTCCGAGCCGGAGGAGTTCCTAAGTAAAATGACGGAGAAGGGCGCGAACGATGCGGACGGGAAGAAGTTCAGGTGCGTCATTTGTCCTTACGTCACCAACTCCAAGTCGCAGTACACCTACCACAGACAGTTCCACAAACCTAGAGGGGGCCAGTATACCTGCACGCAGTGTTCTTATAACGTCAGCAAGAGGCATTTGCTCCATCAACACTTGAAGGTGCACGGGATCAACGTTACTTCCCACAGACAGAACGGAGAGGTTATATACTTGGACGAAATAACGGACGAGATCGAAGAAGTGCCTTCTTCCGCTACCGCTCTGGACGCACAGAACTTTGCAGACATTCCCCTGGTGTGGGTGTCAAAGAACGGGAAGTTCTCGAAGATGTTCAAGTGCAGGTACTGCCCCCACGTCAATTTGAGGAAAGTTAACATACAAGAGCACGAGAAGATGCACAGTATCCGTGAGAAAAACCCCAACTCCTCTAGGTTGAACGACATAGAACATCGATGCACCGAGTGCAACTACGTGTGTAACAACGCGGGGGTGCTGTCTTCACACTCGAAAGTCCATCAGGGTTTGTACGGTACGGTGCACAGATTGGTAGATCCCAGTCGTACCGACGAGGAACAGATCCGGGAGCTGAGCAGAAGCACCGGGATTCAACCGGTGACGGACGGTGTGCCGTTCGAGGACTTTGAAATCACTGAAACAACAGCCATGGAAAGCGACGAGGTGGACAGTTCGTCGGGATCGGGATCTGTTCTGTACTTCTGCAAGGAGTGTCCGGCGAGGTTTCTGAAAGAGAACGAGTTCGGCATCCACAAGAGATTCCACGGTTCGAGGCTGTTCTACAAGTGTGACTATTGCACTTACACGGCGAGAGAGAAACCTCACTTGTACTCCCACTCGAAGGTACACACCAGCGAGTACCAGGACAGGACGAAGGTGTTGCAGAACATGTACATCACGAGCGCCAACTACCCGCAACCCCACACCGTTCCCTTGAAGTCTGGCGGTGATTCCAGCTGGGTGGTGGCCGAGAATAACAATAAATCCATGGAGATGAGCACCCTTTGCAGTATCCTGAACAAGCCCGTGAAGTCTACCCAGAACGTGCCATTATCCGGGACCGACCTGTTCCTACAGAAGTCCGAGGCCCAACAGAAACAAGCGGCTCAACTAAGGGAGATGTCCCCTACACCGCAGAAATCCATAGACCCCCAGTTTGGGGTCCTTATGCATGGAAACCCCGACTTCATCTACCCTACATATCTGAAAAACGGCCGAATGAAGGAGAAGCGCTACAAGTGCCATAAGTGTCCCAGCGCGTTCGAGAAACGGGAGCAGTACAAAGTCCACTTGGGCCTGCACGGCGCCAAGCAGCGCTACTGCTGCGACTACTGTGATTACTCCGTAAAGTACTACGCCAACTACGCCCAGCACTTGAAGAAGCACAAGCTGAACGCCGCCGCCCACGCGGCGAGGAGGTCCAGTGACGACGCCGATCTTGACGTAGATGAGAGCGCTGAAGTTACCAGTGAAGTTACCACAGAGGAGAGCCCTTCGAAACTCTCCCTGGCCGACCAGCAGATGCTCGCGGTCGAAGAACAACGGAAAGCCGCTAGCCCCACCAAGGAAGTCGAGGATAGGAAGGTGTTCTGGTGCCCCAGCTGTCCCTACACCAACGCGAGGAAGGACGCGGTGGACAACCACCAGAAACGTCACGTCAGCGTGTCCGGGGTGCGATGCACCTACACCTGCGAGCACTGCGACTACTCCGTGCCGCAGAACCACTTCCTCAGGGAGCACACCAAGCTGCACTTCGTGCCGAATAAAGTCAATCAGGTGGAGGGGTTCATGAGTTGCGATAACATAAAGCTGACCTCGATCAAGACGGAGGAGGACGCGGCGGACGACAAGAGTTTGATTTTCGAGGAGCGCGGGGAGGAGAGGCAGTTCGCGCCGCCGCTGAGCGCGGAAGTAGCGGAACGGTTCAATAACAATGAGGGTGAGAAACTGTTCGTGAACGTACAAACGGGTGAGGTAGTGGATAGGAGGAAAATTAGTGATACCACGCCGCGTCGGTCCTCGGTGAAGACGGAGGACGGCGACTTGGAAGTAATTTAGTCAAACTTCTAGTGATAATTAATTACAAATCTATTTACCTAATTTATCAGAACTTACTTAATACCACATAAATTTATAACGTGTTAACAATAATTGCCTTAGTCATAGAGTATTTTTACAGAGTATTTTCACATGAAGGTAGCAGAAATTTAAATATAGTATTATTACCACTTTTCATACTGTATTTGTACATATTCTGTTCTTAGAAGTATTAATTTTTATTTTCATGGGGTTTAATGCCAAAGCATTCAAAGCCAAAATTTGCCATATTATTGTTGTTTATTGTTTACAGAGAAAATATATGACTTATAACTTACGTGCGTTTTCATTTTCCAACGCCCTTTTGCCAGATCACAAAATGTATCAAAGAAATTTGTTAGAAACATAGAAAGTGCATACAATCCTAATAGACCGATCAAAATAACTCATTTAGAGGGAAAAAAAGAATATTCTTACCTGGACTTTTATAAGTGGAAATGGTAAAAGGGGCTTATAATAAATGAAAAAAAAATAAATGCGTGAGCAGGGGCGGCGGAGGGTTGATTTGGGGGGTTGAAAACTTATCAAAAATTGTATCATTGGGATTTCTGGCGTAAGTTGACATCAAACAAAAAATTATCTAATACAAAAGTTGTAGATCATACAAAAATCTACAACTTTTGTAGAGGTCATTTTTTAACATAACCTCAAAATTTCCGAGAAAATTGCGAAATACAGGCTTTTTCAGATTTTTCGTTTTTTATTTCTCATTTCCGCAAAAATAATTTAATTTTAACGAAACTTGGTGAAGGTATACCTTTCTGTGTCTTAAATTCCCTCAAATTTTTTTAGATAAAAAAATCAAGAACTTTCTGTGATTCATTTTTTTCGGCCTGAAACACTTTCTTTTCAAAGAAAAATTCTACTTAAAAAAATCATCGTACAGAGTTCTGCTGGTAATCAATTTTTTCGTTTTGACATATAGTTTTTGTTGAAATAAAAAAATTTGTAATCACAGTTCAAAAACATGTTCAAAAATGCAAAAAAGTAAAAAATGACTTGCGGCAATGAATTTTTCAGTAATTGTTAATAATTTATTTAAATTAGAAAAGAAACAAAAACTGACTACAGAATTCAATTGTACGGAAAAAATACGAAAAAAACTGTCTCATTGTTTGACCCAAAACTATTTTTGTACAGTATTGCTATAAACATGTCGAATAGTGAATAAATAAAATATTTTTTTTTTTCTGTAGGATCGATTAGTGTACTTATTTTTTTTAAAGTTTGATGAATTCATAGATATACATAGTGTGTCCAAGATAAGGATGGGATAGCATTAGGATCTAGGAAACGGTAAGAGATACCCGAAATTTTGCAAAATTGTTTAATTTTTTCTGGTTTTATTTGAAAACGAATTTTAAAATATATTACATATTTACAATGCCACTTTTTTCGCTCTATACAATGGCGTCAACATTTTTGCAATCCGACGTTTCGTCTTCGAGGGGCCATCATCGGGTTAATTTTTTAAATACATTGCTGCTATTTTTATGACAAGATCTAGTAATTTTTAATTCTGAATTAGAGGATATTACTATTGTAATCGCTTATAAAGTTTTTAGCTTGTTAGTTATAATTTAAAATGTTTCCCGTAATTTTTTTATCTACAAAAATTTGAGGTTATTTAAGACAGATAAAGTTATATCTTCACCAAGTTTCGTCAAAATTAAATTCTTTTTGCGGAAATGAGAAATAAAAAACGAAAAATCAGAAAAAATCCTGTTTTTCGCATTTTCCTCGGAAATTTGGAGGTTATGTTAAAAAGTGAACTCTACAAAAGTTGTAGATTTTTGCATGATCTACAACTTTTGTATTGGATACTTTTTTGTTTGACGTCAACTTTCACCAGAAATCCCAATGATACAATTTTTCAAAACTTCAACCCTCCAAATCAACCCTCCGCCGCCCCTGCTCACGCATTTATTTTTTTTTAGGTTTATTATAAGCCCTTTTACCATTTCCACTTATAAAGGTCCAGGTAACAATTTTTTTTTCTCCAAGTGTAATTTGGTTGAACTATAAAGCTAAATGTTCAAATGATTGAAAAGATCGACAAATACACTGCTGACGATCCTTAAAAACTAATTATACAGGGTGTAAGAAGTTTGACTGCCGTTACTTGAGCATGAGATGGAGTAATTGTAAATGAACAAAAAAGTTGTATATTGCAGGGGCGTAACATTAACAGATTTCAAACTACAGCGAGTATTAATATTGGGGAATTTTATCACAACATGACAACAGTGCTTAACTTAATGTTACACAGCTGACGTACACCACGTGTGCACGTGGCAGACTTGTCCTATGGAAAAAATGTAAACAACTATTATTGTTTAGTAAATTTCAAGACAATTGTTTTCCTGTTTTTAAATAAATAAAATAAAATGTATCGAATTTGTAGTACGAAGATAATGTTGTGCTTAAATTTTAGCTTGAATTTTAGTAATTATGAATCTGTCAAAACAGGAACCTAACTTTAATCAAATTATGAATTTGAGAAATATATAATGAAAGTACCGAAAGATTCACGTCGTCCAAATAATCATGCATATTAAAAGTAATTTAGGTACCTACTTACCAAGATGCAAAATAATATCTGTGGATAAAGCTAATGAAAGTCACAACCCTTAAAATTAATTCTTACCAAATCAACTTGTTTGAATTTTACTTAGATTTGTTTTTTTTTTAAGATAATTACCTCATTTCATTATTATTCATGCTTCAGTGAGCGCTTTTTGCTTTAAAAAATTATACATGGTGCTCAAGACACAAAGAGATGTGTTTCACGATCTTTTCCCAATTTTATTTCCGTTTTTGTATAATATACGAGTATTTCAACTCATAATAATGATAAACATAAGCAAGTTTTCATTATGGAGTACCAGGGATTTATATATTTTGTTTCATGAGCAGTGAACATGTTTAATCATATTAATAATATTAACTGCACTTAAGTATATTTTTTAAATATATTAGACCAAAGTTCATCTCAGTTGTATACCAAATATATGTATATTTTTGCATCTTTTGAATATCAATTTTCACTGTGAAAAAACAAATTCATAGAACTTAAACTGTGTGTATGGGAATTATCCAATTTTTGGGATTAATATTTCCAAAGCTTTAGTCTTGAGAATAAAAAAGAGCGAGTGTGACACAAACTTACCAGGTTTTGGTGGAGGCTACTGGCTGGCTTCTTTCCAGATTGAGTATTAAACACATTTATGTGTTATGTGGTATTAAACAGGTTGTCACTTTGAAAATTGTCTATTTACATACAATTAAGCGGGTTTTATCTATTATTTATAAAGCAGGTGCACTCTCAGCGATATTTTAGCGAGCAAATGAGTTTATAGGCAACACGACTTACAATATTAATAACATTTATGTAATTTTAAAATAACATTTACCAAAAACATAGTAACATGTGTGCATTTTAAACCGCCATTATTTTCAAACAAACGACGGTGACGTTTGTCATACCCAATGAACATTGGAAGGGAATCTACCATGATTTGTTATGAGCGGCATGGAAAGATAAGTTATGAGAGGGAGGAATTGTATATCTCCTTGTTACATTATTGTTAATGAGAATTTTAGCAAGAGCTATTATAGAATTCCATATTTTCTGTTGCTAATATTTAAATTTGTGTTAATAGTTTACCTTCACATCAATTTCATAACGAAAAGAAATCATTAAGAATATAAAAAAATCGTTTTAAAAGTAAGCCGCTCCAAACTTCCATGAGTGCGAGAGACTGGTTGCATATCTTAAAAATTGGCCTCTAGTTCAGTTGGTCTCATCAGTCTGTGCATGGAGACTATACACTATCTAGTCTCCATGAGTCTGTGTCTGTCTTAATGCATTTTGTGTTGCCTAAACTCTAAAATTGTAATCATAGACGTGCAAAAACAGATTAAATTTACATTGCATTTATGCGATCCAAATATCTTGTGGTATAATAATGAAGATTGGGCAGTCAAACATCTTGTTTCTTTTAGATTTCAATCCCAATTATTGAAAAGTGATATCAGGAGTATTAAGCCGTAAAGACTATCTGTGAATACGACCTTTAAAAAGTCAATGCCCTTCACCAGCCACCCTATTTCCACAGAAGCTGTGCTATTTGCTCTTATATTCAACTATCAACATCAAACATCATAGGCAGTCATAGATATTTATGGAATGAGGCCAGTGTTAAATTACTGAATTTACAGTAATGATTACCTACTTTAATTTTCAAAATGGTAGCAAAATTATTTACATTACGTGGAATTTGCGATATGAATAAAATATTGAAAATAAATAATTACTCAACCACAGCGTCTGAGTACATATATTTACATCACAAAACATTTAACAATGTCTGAAAATTGCTTCCCATCCTAGTTAGACTAATATCTTCGCAAAGTAATTATTCATTGTTCTATAAATCTATAACGTATGTTGTAGGTAGGTAGGTAGGTATGTAAGTGTATTATTTTTCCTTCTAGAATCATCGATTACATGGTTTGTAACGTTCCAACTCGTCGTAAATTAAGGCCAAGGAGTATAAACGACCAATTACTGTTCATATTAGTTATGCATCAATAGTCTAGTTAGTAAAGTAGGTATGTATAGAGAAAATAAAATAATTAAATACTTAGATAGGCTACGAATCATGTGTTTCTTCTCATTTTTTGTTCAACTAAGAAAAACAAAGTTTTTTTTGACACTAAATCGAAAGCAACTATTTTGTAAATCGGTACCTAAATAGGTAGGTTAAAAAATTTTCAAAATCAAATTTCTAAAAATCTAAAGCCTTTGAATACTTGAAAATTTCACCACAAAAAGAAGAGCTCTCAAGCTTTAAAATGGTTTTAGAAAAATTCAAATCGGACGCTTAGATGAGCCATGGTGAGTCTTTTTGTGTTGAAATTTTCAAGTATTCAAAGGCTATAGATTTTTAGAAATTTGATTTTGAAAATTTTTTAATTTAAAAAAAAATAAAAAAAAATTAAACAATTATTATGTAAAAACTATCGAACCGAATTGGATGAAATTTGGTGTGATGATTCTATGCACTAAGAAGTTTAATTGGGAAAAGTATGAAGATCCTAGGTATTATTCAAGTGTCTGAAAAAAATTGACAAATAAATTCGCATTTTTTGCAATTTTTTAAATTATTTTTCCGATTTTTGCAATAACAATAATTATTTTTTCGAATTGCAACTATCTTGTTCAAATTTTAATTACAAAACTTTTTTTCCTCTTCCATTTTTGTCTAAAATGAATAGTTGCTAAGTTGTCGACGAGAAATCCAAGAAAAAAATGAATTTTTTTTGCTATTTTTTTATACTTTTTGCAATAACAATTAAGCCCACGTATTTTTTTATTTGCATAGAAAAATTATCATTTCTTATGTTGTTTAGAAGCCGTTAAAGCAAAAATCTCCGATCATATGCGTTTTACCCAAGTCTACCCTTTTTAAAACAGATACCGCCTGGACTATAATGGGTATGATACGAAATGATTTGATATTTACAGACTGTTTTTTATTACGATAAACAACTTCTAAAAATAATTTTTCATAGATATGTCCCTAAAAGAGTTTTATTAACAAAATATTTTTCATTCTCTGTACAGAACTGATAAGTAGTTATTATGTGACAAACAGATAAGTACTATAATGATTTATCTCCGGTCTATTGTATTTATAATATGATAAACTCGAACAGTAAACTTGTTTGTAAAAAAAATATAGTATGCATTTCCTTATGAATAAATACATTTATACTTTTCGTAACATTTGTCCTAAATTCATTCTCTAATCAAGAAGGTTCGGGACCCCTCACACCTTTAAGTATAACAGTTCATGAGATATTAACATTTCAACTGACGTTACTATTTTTACGCTATGTTAGAGGTAAAAAAGAAAAGCTTGCATAGATACGTTGTTTTCTTTAATTTTTATTATAATTGACATATTTCTGCATTAAAAAAATTAATCTTAAAAGGTCCTGTCTGTACGATCACACAGACCGACAAGATTTTAACCCAACAACACGAATATACTTTTCCAAAGAATTTTAGTGTGCTGAATTCTAAATTTCTCAATTGGCTCTGGTTTTCGAGATATCCTAACCTAAAAGTGCCAAAATCGCTATTTTTTACATATTTGAGGTTATGCTACATGGCTGCTACATCCTTTGTCGGCCTGTGTTATTAACGTACATTTTTCCGCTCAGGCAAATTACGAAAATTAAAAGTGAAAAAATTAAACAAATGTTTTTTATCTCGTCTTATACTACTTTTTGGAGTGTAGGAATTTTTGGCATAACTAAAAATGAACATGAGTTTATTTTTCCATTGAAACAGATATATTTTGAGACACTATTTACCTTCATGTATACTTCTTGTATGCCGCTCAAATATAAGTTATCTTAAAACTTTTACAAAATATATATGATAAAAACAAAACTTTTTAAGATGTTCTTAGTGTCCTCTATGTCAAAAACTCTACATCAAATTTCACCGAAATATTTTTAAAAACTGAAATAAAAAAATTTGTCTGAAGGCTGGTATCTTTCTAGAAGTGACATTATACCAAGCTAACTTGATTAAAGTTGATTTTATCTTCACAAACGAAAGCTACTTTTGAAGCATGGCACATTTGGTTCCGTAAACCCTGTATATTTTATTAATTCCCTACCTAGATGTCAAAATATAAATGAAAACTGTGTATAAAATACATATTTCTTTTCATTCTTTTTAAAGTTTTTGTTTCAAGCATTATTTCCTAATAAAAATAAATGCAACTGGTTGTTTATATGCTTACTTTTGTATCATAAACATCCGATGAACGTAAAACCTTTTATCGATCTTCGAGCACTGACTTGAACGCACTCGAATTTCTGGAACCGACCAATAGGGTATAAAAACGCGCTTTGATGCGCGCCTCCTTCAGTTTGAATTCGAACAAGTGAAAAGCGAAAAACCAAACCAAAGCAACTGTGTTAAGAGTGACATTTTAAACAAAATGGCTCTTCTACCGTACTTACACGACGATTCCTACTGGCTACGACCATCTAGGCTTCTCGACCAGCAATTCGGGCACGCTCTAGACACGGACGACCTCCTCCAGCCCTTTTCGGGTCTGTTACGGTGTCCAGCGGGGTACCTGAGAAACTGGCGATCCCTCGCATCGGAGCAAGACGGTGGGTCTACCGTACACTTCAAGAAAGACAAGTTCGAGGCCAACCTAGACGTGCAGCAATTCAAACCTGAGGAGATCTCGGTGAAAGTGACCGGAGACAACACCATCACCATCGAGGGAAAGCACGAGGAGAAGGAGGACGAACACGGGCAGATTTACAGGCATTTCATAAGACGTTACGTGCTGCCCAAGAACTGCGATACGAGTAAGGTGGAGTCGAAGTTGTCCTCCGACGGCGTCTTGTCCATCACCGCCCCCAGGGTGCAGGATAAGCACGTTAAACATAAGAGCATACCCGTGACGCAAACCGGCAAACCCGTCAAGGCCATCAAGGGGAAGAAGAAGTGCGAGGCGTGCGAAGGGGACAAGAAATGCGAGAATAAAAAGTGCCCTGCTAAAAAGTAATAAAAAAAAATGTGTCGTATTTCTACTTCCTTGTAGAACGTTAATTTTGTCTCCACTAAGAAAGCACCAAAGTATTTGTAAATGTGTCTGGTACATACCACATAGAAGACTGTTTTTTTTTGCATTTTTGTATTTTTAGTACTGCTTATTTTTTGTTACCTAATTTTGTTAACTGAATAAACTGAATTATATAAATAAAAACTAATAGGAATAATGTCGGTTTTATTTTTCAATAATTCTGATTAAATCTTATCTGATCGATGAATGACGATTAAAATATACAAGCTGTTTTGATTTGAAATTTGACTTCAAAAGCTTCCAAAAATCACAATCGTAGTATCTAGCTTAAAAAATACCTATTGTTTACGATGAAAATACGGAAATAGCTATAGTAGGTCCGTTATTTCATTATTACATTTTCAGTCATAACTCCTTATAAATACTGAACTAACATAAACCCATATAATGAGTTTAATTAAGAATAATAAATAATAATTCCAACATTAATAATAGTACAGTCATTGAAGCTGAAAATCTGGTGTAACCTCCGAATTCTTTGAAACTGCATGGATTTGCATGAAAATTTAGAATAAGGCTCATCTTAGGCTCAAGTTCAAAAGTAGCATATAAGGCCGATTGACGCTTTTTGTTTTTTGGGGTAAAAACTGCCCCTAAGTGAAAAAATTGAAAAAATTAAGTTTTAAGCATTTTATTGATAAAAATCTTATTCAAGCACAAAGATTAAATAATGTTCCATGTTCTCGAACATGTTTTATGATATATAAACACTAAAACAAAACCAATTGTAAAGGGTCTACGATTAATTTTAATTCTGATGGAAATGGTACTGCGTTTACTGATCATTTTTCCTTAAAAAATATGAAAAACCCATCTGTCTTTGACGATAACTCCTTCAATTTTGCTCTAATTAACTTTTATTAGTGCTCATTTTGAAGGTCTCTTTGAGTACTACAATTATTTTTGAAAAAAAAAAAATTCCACCCCCGAGAAGGGATGTCAACCCCCAACAGGGTAGAAGCGTTAATCGGCGCTATGTCACTAATGTTCATTGACCTTTTCTCTAACTATCTGTCAAATTTCAAGTTGATCGGTTCAGTTTCAAAGAATTCGGTTAAGCTCTTTGTTTTCTGGACATCGAGCAACAAATTCTTTACATCTTCCTGATATTACTTTATTACATTGTCCATAAATAACAAACGAATTAAAATAATCTTCATTTGTATAATTTAAACGATTCCCAGATATTTTTATTTAAATTTTCGACAAAAACTATTTCAGACACAACTAACTTGACAAATGTCAAGTTATTTCAATTGTTTTTGGAGTGTCTCTGGTCATGGCCAATTTGATAACAGGTTTGATACGAAAAAAACTGTCCAAAAAAATAGAAAATTGCAAATATCTCTAAAAGTAGTAACGGCAACCCCAACAATGCTTATATGGCTAGAAAGGAAATTTCAATCTGCATACGACAGAGTGTTCCATTTAAGTTAACAAAGTTATAGCTGTTTGAAGTTATCAAAATGTAACGGCAAAAATGAAACACCTATTATTGTTTTAATTTGTTGGTATACCACCATTTAGCGTTACATATGCCCTTTACAGGTATTAAAAATCCACTTTATATCACGCTCCTGAAAAGAGTTACCTACTAGCATCTCCGCGGACCCTTGCATCTGTCAATTTTTTTCTTTAAAAATTAATAACTCAAATTCTATAACTCCTAGATATAGGGAATATTTAATAAAGTGATCCTCAAATTTCACGTAGAATCCGAAAATATAATAATATACAGGGTGTCTTATTTAAATTAAGAAAGTTAATGTTGACTTCTGGTATAACCGGAAGTGCCATAGTTTTTAAATATTTTAGCTGTGTTTTAGCCTTTGCTAGGTTGCCAGATTTACAAATGTATCGGACCCATGTTCATATGAACTTTTTATCTTAAAATTAGTCAAAGATTCAATAAGCTTTAAACTTTGTATAAGAATTTAATAAACACCCTGTATATTTTAATCTGAAAATAAAACGGAAAATTTCAAGGCACGCCCCTGTGCGTAAATTGTTGCAGTAGTTGGCTTATTTTTTTTGGGAATTCCATCCCACTAAACATTTTTCAGTTTCTGACATGTTTCAGAAACGTTTCCATTTTTCTTGAAACGTTCCATAAAAAATCCATGCAACCTTCTGGTAACGTTCTAGAAGCCCAAGATGTCCTCCCCAAAATACGTTTCCAATGAAACGTTTCAAAAAATTGGTTTCAGTAACATTCTTTTTATGTTCCATTTATGCCCTCGATATTTTTGTTTTACGTTTCAGTATATTTTCAGAAATGTTTGAGTAACATAATAATTTTATTACCATATTGTTCTCATAATGCTCTCAACTTTAGATCATTTTCATTTCAAAAGCGTTTTTGAAATAGTATAAATAGTGTGAGTATTTTTTTAAATATCTCTAATACTCCTTTGTGATATTTTTATTTGTATTGTGAATGACTTAATTCGAACTAAAAAAAGTTACATTGTATATTAAAAAAAATAAATATGCTCTTCTAGTTTGGGGATGCGGCAACTTTTACTAAGAATTTCTTTCTTTTTGAGAAGCCACTGAAAAAAGTTTCTAATATGGATTATGAATTTTGCCATTCATCGTACAAATAAAAATATCACAAAACAATATCAGAAGCATTAAAAAAAAGCTACACATTTTATATAGTTCAAATACGCTTCTGAAATGGAAATTTTCTAATGTTGAGACCTTCATGAATATGGTAACAATGACGAACTGATAATTAGAAAAAGTTAGTTATGATTATGAATCTTAAAATGGTAGGTACATGAAAAACAAATAACATTACTGAAAAATAATATAAAGTTATAATTTCTTCTACGCATGGTCAATATTACATATATCCTTTTAATAATAATAAATTATACAGCAGAAATAAGGATACAAAATGATATCTTGACAAAGTAAATATCTGTAGGTATACCTAAACTCTTTTATTTAAGCATGCCTATACACATAAACAAATATAAACATTTGTACAAAATATAAAATAAATGACGTCTATTTCACTTGATTCATCCATATTTCAAATAGTTCTCACTGACTAAGTAGTTGCTCTTCAAATTATATCGAAACGTATAGTTGTTGTTCCATTTTCTTAGTTCTTGTCCCTTGTCCTCTTGTCTGTAATAGGTAGTGGGTATAACTATATTTAGGTAGATGTGACGCAAAATTGGAAATCTCTTTACACATATCGTTTTAAACATTTTGCATCAATATTCATTATTTTATATGCACCTTACAATAACCACAACTGCACACACTACAAATTATCACATAAAATAGCGTCAAAGTAAAGATGAATAACAACGAAACCAAGCAAACTGACAAACCGCAAACCTAACCTAACATAATACGAATTGAAACGACACACGGGAAACAAATAAACTCGGGCTGTTACGCGCAGTCTACGCAAGTCACGAACATACATTTTTTCTAGACTTGTGTTATAAATATGCTACCACATTTTTTTTTCTAATTATGTCTTTATATAACAAAGGCAAATGAACTAACGCTTGAGAAGGATTGGGGATTGAGAGCAAAATTTAACTAATGCCGAATGTTCCATAAGATAAGCAAAAATAGCAAAGGGTTGTTCGTCTGTTATGTTTCCGAGATCGAAAGGGAATGTTTCGAGTAATGTTTCAAACTCTCTTCAATTGTAACGTTTCGGCTATGTTTCACTAAATAAGTTTTCAAGTGCTACATTTCTGTAATGAAACAGAAACGTTTCTAGTTAATGTTTCAAATGTTTAGTAAAACATCTCATTTGCAACGTTTCATTTACGTTTCGTGTTTAGTGGGGTTGGCTTATTTTTTTTTTGGGAATTCCATCTCAACAAAATATTGTACAGACTACAACTGATTCAACTTTGGTACATGAAAAAGTGATTTGTTGTACAAATAAAGTTTCTCTGATATACGAAATTAAAAACATGCATTGAGAACAGTTATTCACAATTAAAATGAAGAAGAATTTTTCAGCAAAGATTACTTATTTCACAAGTTTTTCCTGTTTTCAACTCTAACACTAACACACTGCATTACCATTTTTTTTTTCTAGAACACCATAATTTTAATTCAAAATCTAGAAAATTCACATATTTCTCAGATGGCAACACAATACAATAGATAATGCGTAAGTATCCAGAACATTATCAACAAACCATAAAACTCTAAGTTTGTTTTCTTTCTCGATAAAAAATATCTCTATTTACTTTTTTTATTATTTATATTACGGTGCCTCACGGTAAATATTTACAAAATATACATATGATCAAAACACGGTTTCTTCTATGGATAAATTGAATTATTCGGCACTTAAGCGCATGGTTACTATAGCAACGCTAAGTGCTAATAATAGCCTGAGAATTATTTAACGCCAGACCGTAAACAAATTTACATCCCGTCGACCCTGACTTCCAACGAAGTTCGAGATCGCCATCCATCTGGAACTAGGCGATCGTGGGATATTGACCGGTGGATTTAAGGTTAAAGGGCTTGGCCTCTTTATTGCCATGGACAGTGAAAAGATCAATTTTAGCGTGACCGCATGCATTCAGAAAAACAAAATGTCTAAAAAAATAATAAGAACAGTTTTTTTTTATTATATGATGAATATGTTCGAAGTTCGATTTAAAAAAGAGCCACTAAAGCCCTTTGCCTTAATAATGCTTTGCAATAAACCTGTAGTTTATTGCAAAATTCAATAATTACATTAATTATTTACGGACAATACAACGGCTTTTATTTTTTAGTTAAAAACGGCGCATGGTAAGACAAAAACTCAAGGGAGCTCTATTTCTTCGAATTGAATGGGGATTTTAAAATTAATTTTATTTGAGAAAAAACCAATGGACTACCTACCATTTTTTTTCTTTAAAAATATCAAAAACAGTGCTCGTACGCACGCCACTGTTAGAACTAAAAATTATGTTTGTATTGAAAAACATGCGTCTTTATTAATTATATCTACATAGTATATATCACTGAAATATCTCGGGCGGTTTCGAAAATATTAATTAATTTCCTTCTTGTTCCTAAAATTTTAATATTTATTTATTTTTTCGCAACGGAACATTTTTGACCATAGTTTAAAACGCAAACAATCATTAATTTTCCATGTAGAATCACACCATTAAATATTCTCATATCATTAAGGAACACCCTATATATTTCCAGTATTGCTGCATAAATTTAGAGGAAATTGTTTCAATATATATTTTTTTAATTTAGTCGGAAGATATTTAAACATATTTTTTTTAATTTTAACAATCTGTATGCAAAAAATGAGAGCTTGAAGTGTTTACATTAATTTAGGAAAAAAGAAAATATTCTTAATTTTTTTGTCAAAACTAAAAATAGGTACCTACAGTGCATGCAATTGTTTCTATTTCTTGAGACACAACGGGATGAAGCCCAGACAGCGATAAGAATTCATTACTTTATTCGTCCAATCAAATCGTTAATATCCGATGAACGGCTACGCTACCAAGCGGACCCTTATCGCCATCTCGCTCTCGAAGCGTCTAGATCGCCCCTCCACGTATAAAAGCAGCAGGCGTTGTACGCGCCGTCAGTTTGAATTTATAAAAAGTGTCGGTAAAGCCAAGTGTTTAACTTCACCAAGCGAAGCGACTAGATTTTTCTTGAACAAACCGAAGCCATGTCGTTGTTGCCCTACTTACTCGACGAGCCTCGCTACTACCGCCCTTCGAGGTTGCTAGACCAGCATTTCGGCTCCGTCTTGGACACCGACGACTTCCTGCAGCCCCTGACCGTACCCAGACTGCTCATACGTTGCCCGGCCGGCTACCTGAGGACGTGGAAGGCGCCTTCTGCGGAGCAAGACACCGGTTCCACCGTTTCTTTCGACAAAGACCGCTTCACGGCTAACCTGGACGTGCAGCAGTTCAAACCGGAGGAAATCACCGTGAAAGTGACGGGGGAGAACACCGTGACCATCGAGGGTAAGCACGAGGAGAAGGAGGACGAGCACGGGCAGATCTACAGACATTTTGTAAGGAAGTATGTTCTTCCCAAGAGCTGCGACATAGGCAGGGTGGAATCCAAGCTGTCCTCTGATGGCGTGCTGACGATCACGGCGCCTAGGATCGACGACAAGGAAATCGAACACAAACCCATCCCCATAAAGCAGACCGGTGAGCCGGTGAAACAGATCGAGAAGAGCGAGAAGCCCGCAGAGAAGTAGGAAAATCAATATATGGTAACGTCTTCTCGTATAGACCGACTGAATTTAAAAATCATACTTGAGGCTTCTTTCTAGAACTGGTTACTGTGCATTTTATATCGCTATAATTGTAGCTGTATCCATTTGTATTCAATTTGTACATTTTATTGTTTGTAAATCCTAAGGTTACAAAATAAAATGAATAATTAAATACATTATTTTTTTTTGTTTTTACAGTCGTTTTAATTTATAGTGATAAAATGTAATTTCAATTTAAACTGTGAAGGATATAATAAAGTAATTAAGTTGTAGTTGTCAACAAGTAAAGGTAAATATCCGTAGAACTATTATTTATTCTGTAATTATTTAGTTCGAGGTGATAGGCAACCAGTTATACTTGCACATTAAACCTCTTGAAGATTGTGTTTTCGCTAGGCAACCACCTATACATAATATTCTTAATCTAGATCTAGAATCTAGATGGTTGTGAACGGACATAACAAAAATAATGACCAAAAGCTCTAAATCTAATATGGTAACTCGTTGGAAAACAGGAACTTCGTATTGCGATTAGTATGAGAGGTATTCACAAAATATAGAATATAAAAATTTTGTGCTGTCTAAACGTCGTAAGTCTGACCATAAGTAGATAATTGTAAAGTCAGCACTCAGCATTTGTTTGTAAACGTTCAAGAAAGACATTTTTAAAACATCCGTGCTTTTACATTTTTTTTAAACTAATGCAAAAAATTATAGGGTCGAAAGAATTTCCGAAATTTTTCCGTAATTTTTGACAGACTGTATTTAGGTAAAAACTGGTCGTATCGGGAATTAAAAAATAGCATTTTGAAGTTCCAAGATTCTAGTTTTTAGATCTTTTGGTTGAAATTTTTTAGGTGCTACGGTTATCATGCAATTCTAAGAAATAGCGCGACAAAAAAATTTTGCAAATTTTCTTTTTTTTTCCATACTTGGAAAATTTTTTTTCAGCTATGCCCACAGACTATGCTATGCCATTGCATGGACCAGATGGCTTGTTTATTCAGCTTTAATTTCCTTTTTTTTGACAGCTAAATTAGAAATATTCACGAAATGACTAATGTTAAGCATGACTTTTACAGTTCAATATACCCAGAAGAACCCTGTGAAGTTTCATCTCGATCTAGCGACCCGTTTCTTTGTTTCAAACAGTCAAACTTTGAAAAAAATGAAAAACTGAAAAAAATTAAAGGGTCACGATTTTTGAGCTTTTCATATGATTAAAATGAGAAAAAATTTTTTTGAGGTTTTTGCACATTTTTACGGCAAAAATTGATGAAAAAAGAAAGAAAATTTGCAAAATTTTTTTGTCGCGCTATCAGAATTAACTAGCTCCTAAATAATTTTACCAAAATATCTAAAAACTAGAATCTTAGAGCTTCAAAATGCTTTTTTTTAATTCTCGATATGACCATTTTTCACCAAAATACAGTGTCAAAAATCACGGAAAAATTTCAGAAATTCTTTTGACCCTCTAATTTTTTGCATTAGTGTACAAAAAAAATGTATTTTAAAACAGTGTATTTAATACTACAGTATTAAGACGAACATTAATATACATTCTATCTTTTGCAGTCTGCTGCTATTATTTAAATATTTTTAGATAGGAATCTGGGGAAGGCCAGGTCAGAAAAGTTGAATTTTAGCCGCCCTTGTAGCCTTATATACAGGGTGATTCAGAACTTATCCAAAAAAAAAATTCTGAATGCACAAGAGACCCTTACAAATACAATTTTGTAAAGAAAAAATCAAAAAGGGCAGTTCGAAAATGATTTCAAAAATACACTTCTGCACGGCACTGGAAACTGGTCCACTGTAAAACCTGACCTAGCACAATGCGACCGTCATGGCGGTGTGATAAAAACGGACAAAAACTGTCGCAAGGAAAGAAATATGTAAGTAGAATTTTTATCGCACCTATTTTATATGGGCAAATTCAACTGCTTTTGCCTTTATTATTTAATAAAATTAATTTGTGTTTTTAAATAATAAAAAATCAAGTGACATACCTGATGTTACAACAATTGTTCAAAATTTTATCCACCAACGTGTAAACACATTTGGGTCCGTTGTACTCAGTTTCTACGAACTAACACAAATATTGTTTTGCTTAAAAAATAACACAAATGCTTCACCATAAATTAAAACGATATCCATCAACTTCGAGTTGCTATACCTACACGCAAACCATTTTTGACACTAACTACTAAAAACCTTTTGTAAACACCACAGATAACAGGTAAATTGCAACGACGATTGCAAAATCCGATTTCAGTATTCGGAGTCGCCGACGCCATGTGGCGAATGATGCTAGAGACTACAGTTGTGCAGCTATGTAGTGGTTGAATGTACTATAACTTCAATATTTTTTTTCTCGGAAACTATAAGGATTTTACAAAAAAATTTTTAACGATATTGATTCCATTTCTCATGCTGCATCTATTCCCAAATTTTTTTGGATAAGTTGTGAATCACCCTGTATATTCTATTATAAACATGGGATACACAGGCTGTTTCGCGAAAAAACAAATTCGCAAATAAAGGGAAGTTATTGTGTTAACAGCAGATTTTTAAAACCAGATTTTCAGTATTTGGAACTTTATCCAATCTTGAGAAATTTCAGACATTTCCAGATTTGTGAAATTCTGTGATAATTACAGATCTTCCACCTCGTATAAATACTTTTTTTAGTATACAGGGTGTTATTTTGGCACATCCTACATACCCTCTATAAATGATAGCAAGTCACATGATCATAATTTTGGCAATTAAATTTTGGTAAAATTAAAAATTATGAAAGCAATAAAATAAGATCAAGATTAAGTTAAAACATAACTTTCTATTTCACCAATTGGCAATTGGTGTAATTTTTCACATTTTATTCAACCAATGCGGATTGCATTATCTCGAGTGTAGCCGCAACTGTTTGTCATTGTTCATTATAAATGAATCGTTACAACTGATTGTGACTGTAACCACTCAGACATGCAACGCAGGCGAGGGAACGTCGCCGTCGGGCCAACGAAAACAAACACTCAAAGCCCTTGATAAATTGACTTGATATATATGTATACAGATATAAAGGCTTAGGGAAGTTTTTTAGAGATCAGATTTAAACTAGCCAGCGAAGTGTACTCGTCAACTAAAATAATGTCGTCGTAATAATATTGAATATTGCAGTTTTTCTTACAGCTACGACCGATTGTGTGAAGATTTTGCGATTTTTAGTCGACAGTACCAATCGTGCAAATTTGGTCATCTAAACTCTGCAGTTACGTGGCTTGTAATCATTTATCAAGGCTTCGTTATATTTTTAAATTTTAAAAAATTTTGAACCAACAACGTGAAGCATTCGCTGTACTTACAGTTAACGAAAATGTACAGGTTTAAAAAGATATGGATTTTCATAATAGTTCGTATGGGAGAATTGCGTAAAATATTTATGCATGTCAAACATAGCACTCGCTTAAAAAAATACAAATGTAAAGCATCTTTATTAGCTTTTAAGCATACGTTACAATACAAATCGAAAGAAATGAAAATAAAACAAAGATGAATCTTTAATAGTTTTATTTTTCAGTATCCATTACAAAATTAAAGTTAATCTAACTAAACTAAAACACGAATAAATAGATGTTACAATACCTATTGAACAAAATGCTTAAGAACTTAATAGATACTTTCCGAATGACTGGTTTACACTTTGCTTCACTTCTTCTCGATCTGCTTGACAGGCTGACCCGTCTGAGTTATCGGAACACTCTTCTCCTGGATCTGCTCATCTTCCACTCTCGGAGCAGTGATGGATAACACCCCATCCGAAGACAGCTTAGACTCCACCCTACTTATATCACATTCCTTCGGCAGCACATACTTTCTCACAAAATGTCTGTATATGTGACCATGCTCGTCTGGTTTCTCCTCATGTTTACCTTCGATTGTAATCGTATTATCCCCCGTGACTTTAACCGTGATTTCTTCCGGTTTGAACTGCTGCACGTCCAAGTTAGCTTGGAACTTGTCCTTGTCGAAGGCAACCACCGAACCGCTGTCTTGTCTAGAAGCAGAAGGCACCCAATTCCTCAAATAACCCGCAGGAGATCTGTTCAGGTAGCCCGCAACTCTAAAAGGTTGCAAAAAATCTTCGGGGTCAAGAACGGAGCCGAAGTGTTGGTCCAGAAGGGTCGACGGTCGGATGTAGCGAGGATCGTCGAATAAATAAGGCAATAGAGACATTTTTAACACTATTTATCCGCTCACTCGTGTAAAAAAACTATTTCGGAACTTGCGAAGGTTGATTTGGTTATTCGCGCGTCGAAACAAATTCAAACTGACGAGAGCGCGCCGATACCCGCTTTTATATCTGATTGGATGAGTCTGGACGAATCTCGACAGTTCTAATCGATGACGTAGAGATTCGAGTCGTTTCGCGTACGTTCGCTGATTTTACGAGAAAGGATAACAATCGGTGGGAAAATAAATATTTGAAAATCCTTTTTAAAATAATGGTCAATCATAGATAAGAGATTTTTTATAGAGAAAATTAATGGTGTTCAAAACACCTTCACCCTTGGGATTGCGAAATGTGATTTATTTTTGTTTTATTCGAAATTCTAACCTAAAAATAATAAAATAGTGGCAGAGAAGAAATCGTTTTACAGACAAGTTTTGTGTATATATTATTATTCCACATTAGCTTTAAAATCAGTGTGATATTCATATAGGTGTCCTAAATTACATACATTAAACTTGAAGGGCGATAGAATAGAAAAAGTTCCACGAACATCGATTTTAAAATGCTGTTTCCGATATAAGTACAAGTTATTCACTTTTTAAAATACCTGAAAATGTTCTGTATAATATACAATTATTGAAATCGCTTAAAGATAAAAAAAGTGACACAATCCAATGAGATACATCCTTTTATTCCTTTTAGGAGAAAATTACGAGAAATATTCTTTCTTGGGTGGTTAAAACTGAAGGCGCAAGGTGATATTAAGCTCAATTGTTGAAAAATAAAAAAGGTATTTAACTTTCATTTTCCTTATTTAAATAAACAAATCATTTGTCTCTAAAAATGAGTAACTTTAAACGAAACGCTAAAGCTTTTAGTGTAAAAAAATCTAACGTTCTGGTCTTAAATAATTGAGAAAACGTTATGTACTTACGTTCTAGTTTTTGTAATGTAAGTAATGCTTTGTTATGGCAGGCACTGAGTAGCAAGATCTTTTTTACTGATCTTGACTGAGTAGCAGTGACATTTAAAATATGCCCTACTTTGCAGGTTATATTTCACACAGCTACCTACACAAAACATATAATACAGCTACCTATGTCAGTAGGTTCAAAGTAATTTTTTAAGATGACATATATTTTATAGGTTATATTTCACAGAGCAACCTACACCAGTAGGTACAATGTACACTCAGCAATCCACTTTGTTTCCAGGCTCCCCAGAGTATGAACAAAGTTAAGAATATTTTTTGTAAGATGACTTTATTGGAATAATTTTACAATTCAAGTCGTTTCCGTACATTTTACAAACAAAAATACCTAATTTGGCCTTACCTAAATTATCAGTCTGCATATTTGCAAAAACTATTTTCTTTTAAAACGCTGTTTTATTCGAATCTATGGATTCCAATTATAAATCATAGATTTAACATAAAAGTCCCATTAAATTATGCTATATCAAAAATTTTTATTTGTTTTTTGTGAGCGGATAAAATTTTTACAAAATTTAAAAACGCAGACACTGACTTAAAATTCACAACAGTTCAATATTAAAATCAATAAGTAAATAAAATTATAGATGACCTGTAAAAAAACTTACATTTATGATACCCATTTAGTGCAATGACGCACATTTACAATCTAAAAATAAATATCAAGGAATAAAAATAAATGTCTTAGTCAGTCACTTAAGATGATCACAACTTGCCCAAACAGCTCTCGTCTTGCAAAATAGCAGACATCAGTTGCTTGTCCTTCAAAGCAGAAGCGACCTCCTCTTCGTCCCACTCCAAGTTCACTTTATTCAACCTCGGCTCTTTCTTTCCCGTAACTCTGATAATTCCCCGAGTCTCGATCAATGAACACAAGCCCACAAACTCGGCTTGATCTACGTTCAAGATATTCCTCTTCGTACACACTCGTTTGTACACTTCGTGAAGCTTCCCGACCGTAATATCCTTATTTCTCGCTTTTTTCAGCATTAATACGAGCGAACAAATAATAATCTTCTGTTGCAATGGAAACGCGTTATCGGGTTCGTCCACCAAGTTCTGTGAAGTCCCGTAAATGTTATTCAACACGTTCACAACTTGTTTCACCTCGACACTCTTCAGTTTGTTCTCAGCTTCCTTTTCTGCTTTACCCACAAAGTTTTCGACTGGTTTCAACACATCTTCTTTGTTGCTTTGATCGATCAGCTCCACCGCCCGTCTGCCGATGTCCAGAGCTCTGCGGATGTCACCTGAACCCGCAGCAAATTTTCCCGCTAGTATCTGCAGGGCGGGAGGGGAGAAAACTTCAAGGACGCCGGCAGATTTCAGGCGTGACGTGAATATCTGCAGGATCTGTTGCTTGGTGTAAGGAGCGAAGTGCATCAGTTTTGGTTTTAATTTGTAATGACCCTGAAGCCTACATAGCTTCCTATCCGTCAGGTCTAGAGCGTTGGCGATTCCCACTAAAATCAGGTGGGAGTTTGGTTTTGACGGCCACTCGAAGATCGTGTACAAGATGGACTGGTTTTTGCTCTCCAGTTGATCAATTTCGTCCAGCACAAGCAAGCTGAAAGCAGACAATGACAACGTTCTTGCCTTTACAATAATGTAAAACAGATATAACTTACATCATTTTGCTTTGGCTTCTTAGGTAATTCTCAACAGCGACCGAGTCCTTTTCAGCTTTTCCGGTCATTTTAATACCAAATTCTTTTCCGATCCTGGAATAAATCGCATTTGCGGACTTTATACCCGTACAATTTATGTAAACTTTATGGAGTTTCGAAGATATCTGTAAAAAATAATAATGTTAAAGGAGTTTCAACGGAAAAATTCTACGACTTACAATATCATCTTGCAGAATTATGTTGAGAGATGCCGTTTTGCCAGTACCAGGGGGACCGCTGATGTATAGAGATCCAGAAGTTTTGTTTTCTATATGAGTTTCTATAAACTCCTTCAGCTCATTCAATTCTTTCTCACGTCCAGGCATATCAGTGGGATACGAGGTGTGCAAGGCTTTTCTAGCATTTCTATAAAAATTTACATTCTTTTTAACATTCGTTTCACCAAAGTGTTCTCCATTCTCAACAGCACTAATTTTCTCTTTTTCTTTAAACAACTCCTTTCTATTCGACCCTTTTTCTTTTTCAATAACTCCATTACTATGTGTCGGACTAGTCAATTTCAGTCTTAAAAGTAAGCGAGATGGGGTCTGAACTTCTTCCTTCTGCACGATTTTGTTGTGTGTTGGTGTTCGAGAAACGTCAGTAGTTTTCTTTTGTTTTGGTGGGCTTGCATAATTTACTTGATTGAGATCATGATCTAAACTTCTTAATTTTTGTTTTCTTGGTGTCGACAGCTTCGGGATTTGGTTACTCAAGCTTCTACACTCATCATCAGAATCATCGATGAAAATAATGTCAGGTTTTGTGACACGTTTCGTCGTCTTCTTCAGCAATAACTTGTCTTGAAGCAGCTGTTCTTGTTTAGAAGACGATGGCACATGTCTCGTTCTACTTCCATTGTCGCTTTCATCACTAGAGGTAATTTTAGATTTAGTCACTCGTCTCTGAATTTTTTTGTTGGAAGATTTATCTTTCACCGTACGAGTGTCATCCTCACTATCATCACTAAAAAATATGTGGGGCATCGGTTCCCTTATTTGTCTACGAGGCCTTTCTAACAACTCTTCGTGTTTTGAATTATAATTATTTTGCTTTTGTGTTTGTCTAGAGGAAGACCTGGTATACATTTTCATTGCTGATGGCACAATGTTCAATTTCAATAAATATCACGTCATCACCTTTTAAAATAAATATGATTATTGCTCCGATATTATCTTATAACCAAGTCCAATTCACAGATTAAATACGATAGATTTATAATGAATTCTCAATAGGTATATGTTTGAAAGGAAAAAATAATAATTTAACTTATTTAAACACTTAATATTTTAATTTATCTATTCATTAGAGGTTAGAACTGTTTACGTTAGATTTATTTCGCGATTTTCGCGCCTATCCCCACCAGTCTGTAAATCATGCAGTTATTATTATGAAATCTTTAAGCAAATAAACCGTTGGGGGCAATTTTAAAATTTGATACTACTTCTTTGCAAAGGAGATAAGTTACAGAAAATTGGAATGGGACAGTCGACCTTCTGTATATATTTATGTTGTACATTGATTTCAAATTTGTTTTTTTTTTTTCAAAAACTTAACCAGATTTTTAATAATATGTTAGGCGCCACAGAAAGCATACTTGAAATTGGCGCCTGTAAGGAAGTTCAATGTCGCCTCTTGTGAGAAATTTACGTACTTCTAGCAAAACAAGTTGTCTTTTGTGTTCATGCGTTCCTCTTTCCTCTTCCATTTCGTTTGTGTCTGTTCATCGTAGAAAAGCATATTGGATCTTATCAAAAGAATCCTCTAGTTTTTTCCAAACTAGAGTTCTTTTAAAGTTCCAAAAATGAGAGCGAAGGTACGTAATAATGATATTTTTTATTTATTTTAATTAAATGATGGATATTTTATATTGTCGGATTCTGACTTTAGCCAAAACATTTCTTATCTAGACCTTATAAATATATAAATTAACTTTTCATTATGTGCATAAGGGAATCAAAATTACTTCGTGCTTTAAAATGTTTTATCTATAAATATTTCTTGAAATTTTTTTAGTTTAAAATTACAACATAACCTCAAATTTTGTGAACTCGTGTACAAATTTCTAGTTATAAATAAGTACATCCCTTGGAAGAAATTTATACACATTTGTTTAAGTGTAATAACTTTCGACTTGGGGTAAAACAATTTGTGGCTCCACCTGTACTAGCTATCAATGCTAGATGCAGTCTAAGAACACAAAACATGTGTAAATGTTATCCATATAAGCAAGTGTAATGCATTGAAAAATGTAGATTTTAAACTTTCTTTTACTTTCAGTGGCGTAAGAAGCGTATGCGAAGGCTAAAACGTAAGCGCAGGAAGATGCGTGCGAGGTCCAAGTAGATTTTATCCACATGTAAGTAATATATACTCATTTTAAGTTATAATTTTTGTATTAACCTAGTATTTTCCTTATAAATGTAAATTTATATTTTTTTATTGTTTCAGGAATTCCGTTTCGTTCAACATTTTCCATCGGAAGATCTTGGAGGATATGGAATTATACAGAAAATGGAAAATTTGTCCGTTGACTTCCAGGTTTTTTTAATAAATGACGTGGTTAAATCATTGTGACAGACCAAAAAAACAATAAAATGTTAAAAAAAATGTGTTTTTATTTCAACTATTTTTGAAAATTTACACCTACAAGGTATAGAAAAGTGTGGTCATATTTTAAAAAAATGCTTTGAAAATCGGAATATATAAAATATTTAGGAAATTGAATTGTAAGCATCAAATTACAATTTTTTAAACAAGTGAGATTTGGTTGCTTTTGTTGCAAATTATAAAATACAAAATTATAATAAAATTAAAATGTATATAAGCTTAGGGCATATACTACTGGTGGTAACATTAACATGTCGCTGCGAAAAGTGTGGCTGAGTGTGCGAGAAAAATAGACCATCAGTAATTACTATCTCAGTCTAGCACGCACGCGATTGATTGGAGCATTCATTTCCAACCAATTGTGGTGTGCTAGTGTAAGACAGCATGTACTGAGATATAGTCTTTCTCTCTCGCACACTCAGCCACACTTTTCTCAATGGCACGCTAACTCCCGTAATATATGCTCCAAGATTATAATAAGTTAGTTCCTTGTTATTGGCGACAATGAATTATAGGTTTATTTTTTTTAGGTTTGTGCACAGATCTCAGCTGATCTAAATGCTGATTGGTCAATTTAGTTTAAATGGGCTGAGATCTCGTGTAAAGAAAACACAGCTAAGATCAGATAACTTTGTTCCTGAGCTAATTNTTAGATCTCAGCTGATCTAAATGCTGATTGGTCAATTTAGTTTAAATTGGCTGAGATCTCGTGTAAAGAAAACACAGCTAAGATCAGATAACTTCGTTCCTGAACTAATTTCATTTACTTGGAACGCTGATTGGTTAATTAGTGAAATATAATTAAACAAAAACGCCTTATTTGTTGCGCATTTTTTTTTCGAATGTTGTCAGCTATGACTGTCACTTGTCAGTAAGACGAGTTATGTTAAGAAAAAAATATTGTAACTTTTCAATTATAATTTTTTCTTGTTTTGGTTAATAAAGGCAATATTTTTAAACTTATTAATGCATGGCGTTTTAAAGAGAGATTTTTCTTAGATAAATCTTTGTGACAGTGCTGAAGTTACCTAATTGCGATCTACTTTATGTTTTCGTTTTAATCGTGTACGCTTTATATATTTAGATGAATTCATGCATACATCAGTGTTAAAATATCTAATTAGTAATTCATAATCTTTTGTGTAAATCCGAAGAAATCAAACAACAAACATGACTACAGACTCTGAAACAAATTCACCAGAACGGAAAAAGCCAAAGAGAAAATCTAAATCGCCCTCTTCTCCTACTGACAAAAATCATAAAGGCAACCATTCCCCTGATCCAGAAAAACAGAAATCCAAAGACAAACAGCATAGGAAGAAAAGATCCGATAGATCAAGATCTAGAGATCGAAGGGAAAAACGGTCTAGAAGATATGAATCAGATAAAGATACATTCCGTGACGAAAATACTAGACGTGAGAACAATGATTACTATTGGAATAAATATCCAAAGAAGGACGGTAAACGGAATTATGAATCCGAAGCCAAACGGTCGGAAAAAAGGGAGACAGATGCCACCAAGCAGAATGAAGATAAATCTATAATTAAACCACGTGAAAGAAAGACGGTGGACTTGCTGACTTCTAGAACAGGCGGTGCTTATATACCACCCGCCAAATTGCGTATGATGCAAGAGAATATCACTGACAAGTCCTCCGCAGCATATCAACGAATTGCTTGGGAAGCCCTAAAGAAATCTGTCCACGGTTACATAAATAAAGTGAACACCTCAAACATCGGCATTATCGCAAGGGAATTGCTACACGAGAACATCGTCAGAGGAAGAGGGCTACTCTGCAAATCCATAATTCAAGCCCAAGCGGCCTCTCCCACGTTTACAAATGTCTACGCCGCTTTAGTAGCAGTCATAAACTCCAAATTTCCTAGCATAGGAGAATTACTACTTAAAAGGTTAGTACTTCAGTTCAAGAGGGGGTTTAAGCAAAATAATAAAATCATCTGCATATCAGCAGCCACGTTTATCGCGCATCTCGTTAACCAGAGAGTAGCACATGAAATTTTGGCCTTGGAGATTCTTACACTTCTCGTAGAGACTCCCACGGACGATTCTGTTGAGGTGGCCATTTCGTTTTTGAAGGAAAGTGGCCAGAAATTGACGGAAGTATCAAGCAGAGGTACGATTTCTGTAATATTTTTATTGAATTATATTAATGTGAATTTTCTTCAGGTATAAATGCTATTTTTGAAATGCTGCGCAACATCCTTCACGAGGGGCAGCTAGAGAAGAGGATACAGTACATGATTGAGGTTATGTTTCAAATAAGAAAAGACGGATTTAAAGATCACGCTGCCGTTACTGAAGATTTGGACGTTGTCGAGGAGGAAGACCAGTTTACTCACTTGATAACGTTGGATGATGTAAAACAAGTCAATGCGGAGGACGTTTTGAGTAAGTGAACTAAATTTATGTGAAGTTTTTGTGAATGAAACATTATGATTTTTTTAGACGTTTTCAAGTTCGATGAAAATTACGAGGAGAACGAAGGCAAGTACAAGACCCTCAGCAAGGAGATTTTGCAGAGCGACAGTGAATCCGGATCAGGATCGGATGATTCAGACGGAGACTCGGACGACGAAGGGGACGAAGAAGAAGAGGAGGGAAAAGAGGAATCGAAAATCATAGACAACACCGAAACGAACTTGATTACACTTAGGAGAACGATTTATCTGACAATTCAATCGAGCTTGGACTTTGAGGAATGCGCCCATAAATTACTGAAGATGGAGTTGAAACCTGGACAGGAAATAGAACTGTGCCACATGTTCCTAGGTAATAACTATTTTCTTTAATCAGTAAAGTAAAAAAATCCCATAATATCGGCGAAAATGCCCCACCCTGTACAATTTCCTTCCCCTCCAGATTGCTGCGCGGAACAACGAACCTACGAGAAATTCTACGGCCTACTGGCCCAAAGATTCTGCCAGATCAACAAGACCTATGTGGAGCCCTTCCAGCAAATCTTCAAGGACACGTACGCCACCACCCACCGCCTGGACGCCAACAGGCTACGGAACGTTAGCAAGTTCTTCGCGCACCTGCTCTTCACGGACGCCATCGGCTGGGAGGTGCTGGAGATCATGAAGCTGAACGAGGAGGACACAAACAGCTCCAGCAGGATATTCATCAAGATCCTCTTCCAGGAACTCTCCGAGTACATGGGGCTCGGCAAGCTGAACGCCAGGCTGAAGGACCCGTAAGATTTTTTGGTTCCGCGATTTGTGTCTTGTTTGACAGATGTTTTTTTTTTTTTTTCAGAACGTTCCAGGAACATTTCGCCGGGTTGTTTCCGAGAGATAGTCCCAAGAATACGAGGTTTTCTATCAACTTCTTTACGTCTATCGGGTTGGGCGGTTTGACGGATGAACTTCGGGAACACTTGAAGAATATCCCGAAGAATTTCGAGTTGAACATCGGCATTGCTAAGGAGAGTGGCAGTAGTTCTAATTCGTCTAGTGAGTCCAGCGAGGCGGAGGAAAGTTCAGGTAATTAATTGAAATTAAACGCGGTGGAACTTTTCTGAATAATCGCGATTAATGAGGGAATTTGTAAATATTGTGGAATTTCTATAAATTTCGTGGAATTTTTTAAAATTCCAGTTATTTTCCTTGATGTCATTTGCTGGAAAATAAGTTCAATTCTTCAGGATTTATTGGTTGATTATTATTAGTCATTAATTCGTTAAAAAAAAAAAAATTGCAAAGTAATGGGACGTGCATAAAAGCATCTATCAAAGACGTTTTTTTTTTTAAATGCTGGAAATGATGCTGTTCCTCAAAATTTTTAAATTTGTAGACTAGGTGGTATCTGTTTTGGTTTGGGTGAATCGTATATCCACGGAGATTTTTGGCTTTTTGGGTTTCAAATATCACTAGAAATGCCAATTTTTTTCTATGCGCATAAGAAAAACGTGGGCTTAACTTTTGTTGGCACAATATGTTAAAAAAAATTTTAAAATGTCATATTTTTCTTCCTATTTCATTATGTATCTTTTTAAGAATTGATTTTAGGCGAAAATGGAAAAGGAAAAAATGTTTGTAATTAAATGTTTTACAGAATATGACTAGTAGTCCAGGCGGTATCTGTTTCGGGTTAGGTAAAACGCATATGATCGGAGGTTTTTGCTTTAACGGCTTCTAAATAACATCAGAAATGATAATTTTTCTGTGCAAAACGTGGGCTTAATTGTTACTGCAAAAAAAGTATAAAAAAATAGCAAAAAAATTAATTTTTTCTTGGATTTCTCGTCGACAACTTAGCAACTATTTATTTTAGACAAAAATGGAAGAGGAAAAAAGTTTTGTAATTAAATTTTGAACAAGATAGTTACTTGCAATTCGAGAAAATAATTATTGTTGATGCAAAAATCGGAAAAATCATTTAAAAAATTGCAAAATATGCTATTTTATTTGTCAATTTTTTTCAGACACTTGAATAATGCCTTGGATGTTCATACTTTTCCCAATTAAACTTCTTAGTGTATAAAATCATCACACCAAATTTCATCCAATTCGGTTCGATAGTTTTTACATAAGAATTGTTAAATTTTTTTTTAATTTAAAATTTTTCAAAATCAAATTTCTAAAAATCTAAAGCCTTTGAATACTTGAAAATTTCACCATAAAAAGAAGAGCTCTCAAGCTTTAAAATTCAAATCGGACGATTAGGCGAGCCGTGGTGATTGTTTAAACATTTTCGCAATTTTCACGCTTATAAACAATTGCAATAATTTAATGTTTTTTCAAATGTTTTTTTATTTCAAAATATGGTTTGAAAGTACTCGGAGGGACGAGTATTTAAAAAAAAAAACCTGATCCGCCCATTATTTTCAGAGTTATAGCCTGTTAAAGTTAACCCTTATTTACAGCAAAACTATAAGGGTATAAGGGCTGTTTTTTTGAACTAATAGGTTTGTCATTCCGAGTACTTTCCAGATATACATTTTCAAAATTTGCAGTCACGGGCATCCCATTTAAAATGTCACTCAAAGGTATTCAAGACCGCGTGAAATCAATGAGGTATCAGTGGTGCGGGAGCAAACACACAGCTACTCCGATCTGAATTCTCGAGTTCAAAACTGCGACGGTCGGAAAAATTTAAATTATCTCAGCTTCTAATGCACCAATTTCGATCATTTTTTTTTAAATAGATGTCTCGCGATTTAAAAAAAACATACACAATTAACATATTTTCAAATGCCTATCGTTAATAATTATTGGTCTTTCAACAGTCCGATAATTATTTATCTTTAAACTTCCTTTAATTATCAACTTTATTTTTTTATTGTATCAAAGGTAAGTGCATAAACTTATATACTGTTTATCAAAGATCAAAAATAAATTCATTTAAATATTCTAAAATTGTTTAAACAACAATTATTTTCAAAATATATTGAAAATTAGTAATATTATGAGTTAATTTAACTTTGATCAGCTATAACTACGTAATTAATTGACCAATGTTTTTTTTAAAAGAAGCGTCTCCAAGAATTTTTAAAACGTATTTTAAAAAATTTGATTTGATTGAATATTCACAAAATTATTCTAATTGTTTATAAGTACAAAAATTCGACCAATGTTTAAACAAGCACCAGAGCTCTCCTAATAGATGGATTCGAATTTTTCAAAAAGGGTTTGAAAGTTTGAGAGCCCTTCTATATGTGATTAAATTTTCAAGTATCTAAGGGCCTTGGTTTTTGCTGTGCAAAATTTTGAAAATTTGCATATTTTTTTTTCAAAATCTGGATTGAAAAATTATTATGCAAAATCTATTGAACTGATTTTGATGAAATTTGGAGTGATGATTCTACATAACATGAACTTTTCTTGAGCCAAATATGAAGGTCCTGTAACCAATTTAAAGACCCCAAAAAAATCTCTAAAATGTAATGTTTTTTAACCCCATTTTTGGCGATATTTTCGATTTTTACAATAATAATCATGATTCATTCGATTTGTAACTAGTCATATTTTGTAAAAAAATTTATTACAAACATTTTTTTCCTTTTCCATTTTCGCCTAAAATCAACTCTTGAAAAGATACATAATTAAATAGGAAGAAAAATATGACAGTATTCGAATTTTTTTAACATATTGTGCCGCCAAAAGTTATGCGCATAGAAAAATTTTAATTTCTAGTGATATTTGAAAGCCAAAAACCCAAAAATCTCCATGGATATACAATTCACCTAAATATGGACAATGGTGATTTTTGGGAATATTCAAAGAAAAATTAATACAAGAAATAGTGTCAGAAAGAAAAAGACCAAGTTAAAAATGTCTTGATTAAAAAAATTTTGTCTAGATTTTGGAAAAAAAAATTGTTGGGCATATTTCTTGTATGTTAAGAGGACTTCATAGCAAATAGGCAACCAGCAATACATTTTTATAGATTTTATTACACAATTTGTCTAAATATGAATCAATTCACAAATAACAGACTTTCCTCCATTTTAACGCAGATTTTCTATAAAATGGAGTTAGTTTGAAACTCAAATTACATTTTGGTGTAAAGAAATTTGTAATTTACAATGCCGCTTGTTCAATAGCGGCAAATTACAAATTTCTTTATAACAAAAAGTAGTTTGAGTTTCAAACTAAATGGTTTCAAGAATTTGTTGTTGATGAGTTTACAATTAACTGGTTTTAAAAGCTATACCTTACATTTTTATATTCGCTAAATATTGTTCATATTTTATGGTATTGTCTATGGGAAACATTTCTGATTGCAGTTTATAAGAGTATTTAAGGTATCGCAAGTTGAGATCTTAAAATATCGCAATTGTCGCAGTGACATAAGAAAGCCGACATAATTACGAGTATTTAAAAAATATATATCCCAATTTGGACAAGTTTTACTACCTCGCATGGAATTTTGAGCATTTTCGCCCATAGTGCGACGGTCAAAATTATGTCACCAAAAACACCATCACACATTCATTGAAAAAGTAATACTGCAATGCACAACGCACATGCACAAGATTCACAGGGTCGACTCACATTTACCCTCAACCTTGAAATTATTAAAATGTACCTACAAGATCTGCAAATATCACCCTGTGAATTATGTAGAAATCTGTCGGAGAGCCCATAATTTTTGGATTTTTCATTTTTCAGACTCATCGTCCAGTTCAGAGGAAGAGAATCAGAAAAAGAAAAAGAAGAGGAAAGACAAAAATGGGCCCAAAGGTGCCAAGCGCGCGAAGAAGCAGAAAGCGTCGGATTCGTCAGGGGAAGAGGAACCTAGTCGGAATAAAAACAAAAAGAAAAACAAACCTTCAGATATGGAGGAAGATCAGAGGAGGGTTAGAAGAAATCGCGACGAAGACGGCGAAGAAAGGAGAAGAAGGGACTACGAGGGTTGGGAGGAGAGGAGGAGAAGGGATCGCGAAGCTGGCGGAAGTAAATATGAAGAACGGGGCAGACACAAGGACGAGCCCAAGACTTCGGAGAAATCGTCGAGGAGGCGATCGAGAAGCTATGATACCGGTAGGAACAAGGAGAGATACCGGAGGGACAAGGAGAAGAGGGAGAGAAGGAAAAGTTGATCGAATCCATGTATTTTGTAAGGGGGTGTAATTGTTGCTAGATGTTAAGGTAAAATGTTTTTTTTTTTTTTTTAATAAATGTTTTAATATCTTTCAGAATTTTTCGCTATTGGAAAAAAGTAATTGGTTTTACGGTGTTTTGAAAAATAAAAGAAAATTCAGCGTTTCACAGTAGTTTCGATAACTTTGGGGGAGGCTACATTTGTCACATAGAAATACTTATCTATATGTTTGCTTTCTTAAATTCTGTTACGAAACCACATTTTTTTACTTTTTGCAAAATAAATGCACGAAAATCGAAGACAAAAATATTTATTTTTTGCTCAGGAAATGACGTTAATTTAAATTAAAATATTTTATTGATATCTCTTCTTGCATTCCTGCTCGTCCACTGCTAATTTCGGACACTTCTTGCATTCCTGCTCGTCCACTGCTAATTTCGGACTCTTCTTGCATTCCTGCTCGTCCACTGCTAATTTCGGATAGGGTCTATGTGTTTTTAGTAACATCTTGAACGTGTCGACGCACACCAACCCGGTTTTATCTATTGCTACGCCAACTTTCCACAGCCTTTCGAACGTGTCCCCCGGGAAGCTGTACCCCACTTTTTCGAATAGGGTCCGAATCGTTTGCGGAGATCTCGGCTACGAGAAACAAATCAAAATCACTTTCCTTAAAAATAACTATATGCCCCGACTGGCATTGAATTATACCCCCAATATCTAGTAAATAGCTGAGATCGTCTGTCAGAGAGAGTCATCAGACATAGATAGGTTTGTGTTGGTGAGATATAACCTATAAAATATGTCAACTCTAAATGTCATTGTTACTCTATGCCTACTGGTACATGTACCTACTGACGCAAAGTGGCCTACTAATCTGTAGGTGCTATGAGCGCATGTGACAGTAGACATAAAATAGCGATGATATTTAAGGTATGACATGCTTTGTAGGTTATGTCTCACCAACGCTCAGTGTCTATTATTCGTTTTACAATAAATATTTTTGACAAAAAATTGTTATTAGTCAGAGTGAATCAGACACAACTGACATTTTTTAGCAAATCCAAAAACATACTTTCATATTTTCGTAATTTTTTTAAGGAAATTTACTTAACCAGACAAAGATTTTGGTAAAAGTGTATCCGATAACCCATGTATTCACCGAGAAGTTTTTATGAACGATTTTAGCACTTTCATATTTTAGTAATTTCTGAAATTTTTTCTACTTTGACCGATCTTACATCTCATAAGATATAGCTCAGTATATGACAGTTTTTAAGTTCGAATTCTTGACACGTGCACCGATTGACGTGAAATTTTAACAGTAAGTAGAAAAAGTAGAATTGCTCAAGAAACATAAGTTATATAGTGCCGATGTGTGTTTTCACCCTTTTAGTCACAAAAATCAATAGAGGGATGAATTCTAAGCAAAAATGCTCTATAACGTTTTTTCCAAAAATTAATATTTTCCGAGTTATTCGCGATTGAAAATGTTGATTTTTCATCTAAAAAGTACGTGTTTTTCAACCATTTTTGATAAGTAACTCGAAAACCTTGCGTTTTATGGAAAATCACATATAAAGCAAAAATAAAGCTTTTGAAATAACGAATCGATTTGTTGTTTGTTGATTACCGTAGATGTAATAATAACTGAGTTATTACTCTCTAAAGGTGATTGTTTATTTTTCGGAAAGTAAAATCGAACCTTTTACCGTAAAATAATGGCGAAAGAACCAATTTTTTGAAGAAAATGAATATAACCTTTTTAAAGTGCTTGGAAAGACCTTTAAAATGCTTTTTGAAAAAATTTCGTAGCTCAAAAACTCGCGGAGTTATGATGAAAATAAAATGGTCATCTCATTTTTTTTGGAGAAAACATCAACAGTAAAATCTATGGCTGAACCATAAAAATAGAAATTAAGCGTAATCCATGTATAGTTGACTTTATTTAGGTACTAATAATACGCTTTGCAAGTTTGACCGGTTTAGAATGCTTAAATTTAAAAAAAAGTTTGAAATAACGAAAACATTTTTAATTTTAAAAAAATTTTCTTTTTTTCAAAATAACTCAAAAACTAAACAGGATACGTGAAAAATGCAAGAGTTCAAAATTAAAGGTCTTTTTTTTATAATACTTTCTCATTCAATTTTTCTGTAGAGCAAAAATTAACTGAGATATTACGTTTTTTAATTAGCATTTGCATGTAAGGACCACCTTCTTTGAGCCCTTAAAACCTAAAAATCTCAAAAACGAAGAGTTAAAGACCCTTTAACCATAAAGGTTGATTTGTTGCTCTTGCAATTCCCTGCAAATTGTTTTTTGGAGCGATGACAAATATTAAAAATTAAAAAAGTTATCGTGATAAACGAATTTTATTATTCAGTGAAAATTGTCGGATTGTGCAAATGGCTTATTTTCCGATAGTTTCCGAGGTGTAATACACGCACAAACACACTCACGCACATGTATATACAGGGTGTCTCACATTTAAATAGCAGGACTTCAGGAATCAGTAGAAGACCTCATTTTGAGTCTAAAAGTTCCTATATATATGGGTCCTAAAACGCTTCGTTTCTGAGATACAGGGCGTTCAATTTTATTTTTGTTTTATTTATTTATTTTTTAACTAAATAACCGCTGACAAAAAAAATCATCATGTTGCGGCGAAAGACTTAGTATTTGAGGGCAAATAATTTGACACAGAAAATCATCGCATATTAGTTCCAGTGGTGGAGATAGAGGGGTCTCTATGCATATTTTTATAAAAAAAAGTATAGCCGATTTGATATTTTGCAAATGTTTTCGAAAAATATGAAAGAGCATTCAATTTTACCCAGAAAAGGCCCTCTTGTCCAAAGTCGATAGGAGGTGGCGTTTTCAAGAAAAACCGAAAATACTGTTTAGAAGTCAAATAATAATTTTTAAACATTGTGTTACAACTAAATTAAATATGTAGTTCAAAAATTCGGTTAAAATTGTTTTTAATTAATTAAATGAAAATAAATACAAAAATAAATAACGAAAACCATATTACATCAAAGCAAATGTTCGAAATGTAAACCATTTTCTTCGATACATAACTGACACCGACGCTGAATAGAACGTCTCATTTGAATTAAGTTATTGTCTCTGATTTCACTGCATGCGTTCCGAATCCGACGAATAAGTTCATCCCTTGTGTCCACAGTAGTGGTATAAACTCTCTCTTTAATAAAACCCCAGAGGAAAAAATCTAGGGGTGTCAGATCAGGGGATCGGGGAGGCCATGCAACGATACCCCCGCGGCCAATCCATTTTTCGGGAAAGTGGGTGTTCAACCAGTTCCTGACATTTCGGCCAAAATGAGCTGGACAGCCATCAAGTTGAAACCATGCTCGCATTCTTAAATTCAGAGGAATTTCCTCCCACATGTTGGCACTCTCGGTCTCTAAGAACTCTAAGAAATTCGCAGAATTCAGTCGTTGAGGTAAGATGTAAGGGCCGAAAAGACAATTGTTATAAACGCCGAGCCAAATATTAACACTAAATTCGTGCTGAAAATTTCGTGGTCTGATTGCATGCGGGTTTTCATGTGCCCACTCATGCTGATTGTGTAAATTTGTCACACCTCGACGAGTAAAACATGACTCGTCGGTCCATAATATGTGTGATAAAAAATTTCCGTCGTTTTCAATTGAGTTAAGAATCCACCGAGAAAAAGCTATTCTATGTTCCTCGTCACCCGGACGTAAACCCTGAACAGGTTGTAAGTGGTAGGGATGTCTATGATCTCGTCTTAATGTTCTAGAAATAGTGCACCTGGAAACACCAATAATCCTGGAAATTTTTCTGGTACTCGTCGTGGGATCTCTGTCAAATTCGTGCAAGATTCGCTGATTCCTCCTATTTCTGCCAATATTAACGTTAATTATGTTGCGATCCCTATGGACCAGATTCAATCCGTCATTAGCGAAACGTTGATGAACATTAATAAAAACGTGTGGATGCGGCTGTCTTCTATTAGGAAATCGTCTCCGATATTCCCTAGCAGCTTCTGCCGAGTTCCCATTGGCAAACCCGTATATGAAGTGAATATCTGCGTATTCTTGGTTCGTAAACTTAAACGGCATTTTGAATTTGTTGCAATTTTTTTTAATACTCTACACACAATTAGAAACTATAATAAAATAAGCGCAAATGTCAATATTAGAATGACATTTCAAGTCTGATTTGATTTCTAAACAGTATTTTCGGTTTTTCTTAATTTGACTTCTAAACAGTATTTTCGGTTTTTCTTGAAAACGCCACCTCCTATCGACTTTGGACAAGAGGGCCTTTTCTGGGTAAAATTGAATGCTCTTTCATATTTTTCGAAAACATTTGCAAAATATCAAATCGGCTATACTTTTTTTTATAAAAATATGCATAGAGACCCCTCTATCTCCACCACTGGAACTAATATGCGATGATTTTCTGTGTCAAATTATTTGCCCTCAAATACTAAGTCTTTCGCCGCAACATGATGATTTTTTTTGTCAGCGGTTATTTAGTTAAAAAATAAATAAATAAAACAAAAATAAAATTGAACGCCCTGTATCTCAGAAACTAAGCGTTTTAGGACCCATATATATAGGAACTTTTAGACTCAAAATGAGGTCTTCTACTGATTCCTGAAGTCCTGATATTTAAATGTGAGACACCCTGTATATACACCTCATTAAGGGTTGTTTTTAAGGGTTGAAATGTTGTAATAAATCATGTATTATTTCATAAACAGTAAAAAATATTCAATTCTTCATTACTGCTCCGTCAAAACATTTCAGAGCCGTGAAAATTAATTTTAGTTTTTTTCCTCGTAAAGGAAATGTTGCTACAAATCAAAAATTATTATTCAAAACATAAAAGAATGCTTATTCTATTGACTTAAATCACTTAAATCTATAGTTTTTACGTTTTTTGCAAGAAGGGGTAGTTTTCACCCCCTAAAAACAATAAGCGCACATTATGGATATGTAACTTTTGTAAAGGAGGGCGAAGTGAGCTTACTCACCAATTTTCATGAAAATCGGTGTGTGTGTCAAGAATTCGGAGGTAATACCCTATTTTTACCGTTGTATACTGGACTAATAACCGAGATTCCTTGTCTTGTTGCTACTTACCACGAAGAAATCCCTGTAGGTCAGCCCGTAATTAGTGTATATGCTGGGGTTAATCAAGGCGTTAGCCGAAGTATAATCTCCCAGGTGTCCTATATCCGCCCTGCAACCTCCGAAAGGAGTGACGGGATGTTGTATATCGTAACGGATAGACGGTACACCCGCGGCACGCATACCTGAATTGTCCATTACCAGGTAGTCGCAACTTGCAGCCTGATTCGTCGTTAAGTAGTACCTGCTTTCCTTGGGGATATCTAAAAGGGAATTTCTGATAAACGACAAATATCCAAATGCAAAAGTTGAAAAAAAAAGTTTTCTTAAATGATAATACTTTTTGGAATTTAGAAAGTTGAAATGGAATATTTTTCCATGAAATGATCTCCTTTCGAATTAATTTGGAAATACAGGGTGACACCCAACAAATGTTACATACTTCAAAGATATAATCTAGAACCTAAATGGTGTCAATTCAACCAAACTTGCTTAAACGAAAAATATCATAAAAAAAAGTTACAGGATGTTAGTTTCTTTTTATATTTCTTGTTTTCTCCTTAACTCTGACCCAGTTAATTTGAGCAAAATTTACTGTTCTCAAAGGGTTGTAGTAAAATGAACGCCCTGTATGATTTAATCTAATAGGAACATAATCACTGCATACTTCATGAAGGAAACAGCAATTTTGCTCGAATCGGTTAACTGGGTTCTGAGTTAAGGACAAAACAAAAAATAAAAAGAGAAACTTTAACACCCTGTAACTTTTTCTTGCGACATTTTTCGTTTAAGCAAATTTGGTTACATCAACACCATTTGGGTTCTAAATTATACCCTTGAGTATGTAACATTCGTTAGGTGACACCCTGTATAGAAAAATCTACCGTTAAACTCCATTATCTCGAACGATGGTGAATGGATGTTAATCATTTCAATGAATCTTTTATAGTCGATTTTGTCGTCGACAATAACGCCCAGGACTTTCATAAGAGATTCGATGTCTTCCTTGGGAAAAGTGAGTGCTTGACAGGCACACAACTCGTAAAATGTGTCTATCGGCAACCATCCCGTCTTCTCCTAAAAAAATTCCTTTCCAGTACTACTTTTTTAACTTAGAAAACACTGTTACTTTGTCAAAATACATGGCTGTCCTGTAGAAATCGTCCAAATGCAAATCTTTATTGCTTCTTTGTTTCAACAACAATTTCAAACGGTTCAGCGACCCTAGCCACTTGTAGAAGTCTCGCTTAAACAGACATGGCGTCACGTTTGAGTCTTTCAACAGCTCGGATATGCCGTAAAATGGCTTGGGAATTACTTTTCCAAAACGGTGACCTTTCGGGACGCAATATACATTATGATTACTAAAAAATTTACTTAAAATTGAGTCGCTCAAACAACTTTTTTGGAATATTTACTTACGGAGCTAAGACTTTTCCAAGTAGCGGTTTTGTTCGTTCGATGAAATTTGCTTTTATTTTATTGGCGGAAACTGCGGCTTCCTTGTGGTGCCAGTCGCAAGCACATCTTACCCATATGCCTCTCAGGTCGTATCGGCTTTTACCTCCAAATCTTTGAGTGGGATCAAAGTGTTCATTGTAACTAGAATAAGAATATTATTATAATCGGAATACATTACGTATTTATACTTTCACAAAATTAAGTAAAAAATAATCCTTAAATTATGAAAGTCTGAAAGAAAGAGTGACCGCAAAATCCGCCTGTTTTTGAAACTTTGACAGGAGGCGACAGGAAAAATCCTAAAAATATTCTAAAAATATCCAAAAACTCGTCATGAGTTTTTCGAAAATTTTCGAAAATCACCCTTATTTAGGGGTTGAAAAGACAAAAAAAGTGAACAAATTAAGCATCATCAACAGTTGTAAAACTACAAATATTTCTATGTTGTTATCAAAATAATATGAACGTGAAAATATCTAATTTCGTATTTGATACGGTCTTTTCCGGATTGAAAATCAACCCTTAATATCCCTAAAGGGGTAAAATCATCCCCTAAACGCCTAAAAATGCAAAAATATATTGTTACAGTTTTTTTTCTTTTTCTTTTATATGTATACGGTTGAAGTTAGGGGTGGTTTTACCCTCATTTAGGGGTGTTTTCCTTCGGATCTAGTCATTGTGGGTTCAATTATCATATAAAATCAAAGTCTCAAAAACAGGCGAAAAAATGGCTTTTTTTGCGGTCACTCTTTCACCATTGAAAGATCCACCAAAANTGAATAATGGTCGTAACGAGAAAAAGAAAAAAGCATCTTGAAGCTTGAAGATTCTAGTTTTCAAATCTTTAGATGAAAAATTTTTGTGAGCATCACCCTCGGCGCAATCAAAAGAAATAATGCAAGGCAAAAATTTTACAATTTTTTTTCCAAAATATGGGCTCAGAAAATTTTTTTCTGCCTTAATCAATGCCAGGGTCATTTCGCCTAATTCATCAGCTTCAATTTGTTTTTTTTTATTTTCTGTACGAATATTTCTCATTGAGATATTGACTATTCATTGAAAAGTCACCTTTTTTTTATCATATCAATATTGCGAAAAGTACCAATGTTTGTAGGCTTTTTTTATCTCAATACATGTCCATGAGGCTTGTAAATTTTGAAATTGATTGGTCGAACCGTTTTCGTTTTCTGAATCGTCAGTTATATAAAAAATTAAAGGAGCTCCTTAAACATCAAACAAATTTTTTGCGTTTTTTTCCCCATAATTTCGCGTTAAATACTCATGAAATACCAAAAAAAAAAATTCAAAATTAAAAAAAAATGTTCAACCATTTTTTTCAATTAAAAAAAATTTCTCGATATTTGAAATTAATGTAAAATTGTGAAAAAGAGGACGAAAAAAAAATTTTAAAAATTTTATTTTTCAAAATTGACTAAAATTTTGAAAAAAATCCGTTTCAAAAGTTTTCTTGATATTTGAAATCGATGTAAAATTGAAAAACGAGGTCGAAAAAAAATTTTTTAAATGT